TTGTTTAGTTGGCTGACTTAAGAATTTGGAGAATATGTACTGGAGACATTACGCTCGACATCCGCGTGCTGATGCAGTACGCCTACACTACAAAATACGTTTGCTCTCTTTCTGTCTGTCTTCTTTCATGCTTTTTTTCATCCATTTTACACAGTTATTCAAATTACAGGGGTACACGCATCTGTATAACCTACCCTCATTTCATTTCTCCACTCTCTCCTTGAAACATGTGGGGCTTCCTGTTCGAACAAACGTTTTACCGGGGCTGTGAGGTAGCCAGGAATTTCGAACGCTTGTGTTCAGGCCTCCACTGTCACCTACGGTGGTCATTGTACATGCTTTAACTCCCAGTGAGTCGGAATTGCGCACATTAGACGGAAGTCACGCGCGTTACTTGATCTTCATAGGCGTGCGAAGGGTTCCTATGCAGAGGAGGTGAAGCTGTGTCGCCACACACCACTCCCGTTTATGTAAGTGTATGGGGCTGGCTTCGGGCCCTACCCTTTCACCCCCCCCCTCACCCCCACCCCCCGTGTGTACACGTGTGGCGATGCTATTGAAGCGAGCGTGCAAAAGAAGAGGAAACGCCATTTTGGATGTTATACGTGGCTTTTTACGCATTGAAAAAAAGGAAAGACAGCTATTTTTTTACAAGCAGTTTGATAGGGGCCATCGTTACACCAACTCTCATTTTATGAAAATTTTAAGTTGAAATGTGTTGAACACTTCTTGAGATGTTTTAGGTGTAGTTGGGCATGTTTTTAGTTTTGCAGCACCCCTATCACTTGAACTAAGATTATAATGTATGTCTGCCATACAGAAAAAGAGGCAGTTATATGCGCATTTATGAAATTGCATTATTGTTTCGTAAGCGTTTATTGATATAGTTACTATACTGACTTTAGAGAAAAAGCTCTCCATAGGGTTTATGAACTGAAATTTATAACCGCATGGGTTTCACTATGATGGAACAAAACGAACGTTGCCACATCCTGAAAGGGTTCCTGTATTTGACGATAGTAATCAGCTTTAACCTGCCAACCTTAGCCGGCTAGTTCTGAGTGCTGTGCCTGGGAACATCTGCTGCGCTTTGATGTGTGAAGCGACAGCGTAACGCTGTTCGCGCAGCTAGCCAGAAAGATGAAATTTAATATTTTCAACTGTTTGCCCGTGGTTATAGTAGGCACACTCTGCCAGCAGATTGAGATTTTGGTTCGCTGACGCAAGGGTCGTTCGACTGATTCGCATCTGGAAGCAAAAACACGGAGGCCGCGGTCGCGAGATGCTTCTGCTTGAAAAATAAAGACAGCTGTATCCGCATTCTTTTCGTTTCAGTGCTGCTGCACTTCAGCACAGCGAGCCGTAAAGCAGAAAAATGTCGATCGCAGCGTGCAGTGGCGAATGTGAGATTATACGTCACCCAAAAGCTGCAATCAACAAAGTTTTTCTGCACACGAAGTCTTATTGCAGTTAAAAAGACTGAAAAAAAAAAGCTTTGATTGTGCCTACATGTAGTTTCAAGGCTCATCTCATCTTTTCGTTGTGGTCGGTCTTGGTTTGCATGAAAGTTTTCACCTTGAAAAAAAAAAAAAGGCTGTCACACGAAGTCGAGTTGCTGGTATTTGGTCAGAAAAAACACCCAGGCCCAGACGCGACGGCAACTACGATATACACTGCGCGAAAACCAGACGTGGAAGTCAACGCGCACACTCGCACAATATTGAGTGTTGCAGTCTATAGTGTGGCGCCATCTAGTAAATATGCCTGAAAACAATCTTTTAGGCCCACAGTAAAATGCGTAAAAAGCCATTGCATACTAAACCTATTCGAAATAAACAGAAAAGAATTTCCTTACGTTTTTGATTGTGGAAATGCTTCTTTAGGATGAATGCGGCGAGTATTATGAGCAATGTACCGCTTTAATTTTGGTGCTTCTTTGAATTAAGGTAATGTCAGCGATGGTAACGTACCGACATGTCGGCGATTTTATGGTTCGCGCTTTACTGGCCTAGCTTTTGCTCTCAAGTCAGTATAGTAATCAATGCATTGATCGGTATGTTTTTTTTTCTTCTGTTAGTGACCATGCACATTTACCTCAATTTCTTTGTCTTCTATTCTGATAGAAAAATTAGCGGCAATCTAGCTCTGAACTATATTTCTTTGATGATGATGTCAGCTCTAGAGGCGATTTTCCAGGTTTGAGAAGTGCAACCAACCGGCTTGTTTTCCACGCCCAATAGCGCTGGCTAGTTGCGTAGGGAAGCTGATGGAGCGAATGATCCTTGCCAGACTCGAGTGGTTCCTAGAACGCCATAGAATATATCCAGACGCCATGGCCGGTTTTCGTCGTCTTCGGAGCTCCATTGACAATGTCATTGACCTGGTGACCTACGTACAACACCAGAAAATGAGCATACGGTTATCTGTCGCACTATTTTTAGATGTCAAAGGAGCATATGACAATGTTTCTCACGAAGCCATACTTGACGCCCTCGAGTCAGTTGGTTTGGGTGGGCGAGTGTACCGCTGGATCCAATGCTACCTACATATGAGATCATTGTTTATGCAAACTGATGATGGGCCGACTTCTGAACATTATACACACCGTGGTGTTCCTCAAGGTGGTGTATTGAGCCCCACACTGTTCAACCTGGTTCTGATCGGTCTCGTTGAACGCATACCAGATTCCGTGCAGATATCTCTCTATGCAGATGATATTTGTGCCTGGACATCAGGTGTAACACGCCCTCAGGTACGTGCGAGACTCCAGAAAGCAGCGAATTCAATATCGGCGTACCTTAGAGAACAAGGCCTCGAGATTTCTCCTGAGAAATCGGCGCTGGTCGCGTTCACGCGGAAGGCAATGACGTCATATCCCATCGCCATCAATGGACACAGTGTCTGCTACGCCAGGACCCACAGGTTTTTGGGGGTCACGATCGATCGAAATCTCTGCTGGAGTCCCCATGTGGCCACTCTAAAGAAGCGCCTAACGGCCATCGCACAACTTTTCAAGTTCCTCGGAGGCAAAACGTGGGGCACATCAGTGCACGCGATGTTGCATTTGTACAAAACGCTGTTTCTGGGGTACCTGCGGTATAGCTTGCCGGTTCTGACGAACGCTTGCAAAAGCAGTATACGCACAATAGAAAACGCCCAGGGCCAGGCACTCAGAGTTTGTCTTGGATTACCACGCTGTACATCAACAGCGGAAACCATCGCAATCGCCAAAGATCATCCGGCCACAGTGCACATTACTTTGGAGGTGCTTAGAGCTCATATTAGACACCTTGCTCGCGCCCCTGCCCACCACCTAGCTTCGCTTCCAGAAGATCGACCGAGTGCCTCCTTCTGTAAGAGAGTATTGACTTTCCGTGAGTGCCTTCCAACAGTCTACACACCTCCGGAACGGATACTAACACATCCTTGGTGCTTGCACCGACCAAAACTGCGCTTGACAGTGCCGGGGATTCGCAAGAAGGCGGAGCTCTCGGCGACAGCTTTAAAGCAGATGATTCTACTCATGCTACACGAAGAATACAAAGATCATGTCAAACTTTACACGGATGGCTCGACAACTGTTGGAGGATCTGCAGGAGCTGTGATCTTCCCAGCAAGAGCCGAAACCATCCAGTTCAGAACGTCACACAAGACGACATCGACAGCCGTGGAGCTCGCGGCACTCCGCAGCGCACTCCGCAGGATTGACCAAGAGACACCACAAAAATGGAGCATTTTTACTGATTCGAAACCAGCTCTCCAATGTCTACACAATACTCTACGTCGTGGACCTCAAGATCAATTGGCGCTCGAAATACGACAACTGTACCATCACCTAATAGACGAAGGACATGACATATCTTTTCAGTGGTTACCAGGCCATTGCGGCATCATCGGTAACGAGCATGCCGACAATGCAGCTAAGAATGCTCACGAAAATGGAGTGATGGAACCCATTCCACTATCAAGAAGCGACGCAGCAGCAAAGATTAATACGCTTGCGCAGGATGTCGCAAGGTCTATGCGGAATACGCCCGGTTTTCTCCACACCCGTCTTCACCGCCTGGACCCATGCCTACGACTTACTATTCCATCTGGCCTACCCCGATCCGAGACGACCCTTCTCTGCCGTATGTGGCTTGGGGTGTCTTTCACGAACGCTTTTGCCTGCCGCATCGGAATGAGAGACAGCGCTACATGCGACCATTGCGACAATGACGAAACAATTGAACATATTTTATGTCAGTGCCCCCAGTACAGCTCTCAGCGACAGTCCCTCTCAGCAGTGTTTGCTCGCCTCGACGACCAGCCATTTTCTGAGCAGTCAATCTTGGAATGTCGGAAAGATCGAGCTTCACGCCAGAAAGCAACGAAGGCGCTGATGAAGTTTCTGCGAGCGACCCGCCTCGTAGAACGATTGTGACACTACTGTGTGCGAGTGTGTGTATGTGTGTTTGTGCTTCTCTTCCTCCCTTTCCCCTTACCCTTTCCCCAGTGCAGGGTAGCAAACCGGATATGTTTTCTGGTTAACCTCCCTGCCTTTCCGCATTAAAATTTTCTCTCTATATATTTCTTTGAGCAAGTCTGCCATGGTTGCCTAGTGGCAATGGTGCTCGCCTGCTCACATGAAGGTCGCGGGTTCGTTTCCAGCCACGGCGGTCGCATTCCGGGGCAGGTGGATTGGTAGAGACCCGAGCACTGTGCGATGTCAGGTTGCTTTAAAGGACACAGGATGACCGAAATTTCCGGAGACCATCGCTACAGCCTGCCTGATAATCATACCGTGGTTTTGGCACTCAAAACTGAAGATATGAGCAATAACTATGATAACATGACCACATTCACATCTCCACGGCACTGCACTAAGCACTCTGCGTTAAAATGTGATATATTTCGACTCGATGTCGATAATCAAAAGCCGATGCCTACAATAAAAAAAACAAAGCACCTTGATATCAATGGCTTGCTGCAGAGATAATGGAAAGAGACACGCGACACGCTAAGGTTTATGTACAGGTTTAATAAGAAACACTCGTATACCTAGTATACAACCTTCAGTGCACTGTTTCATTTCGTTTTTCTTCGAGCAACAACACATACGAGAAGAAAGCATTTTTTTTCCTCGACTGAATAAGCTCGCAAACAGAAGAAAAAATCAGTGGCAAGAAAACAAAAGAGTAGAACGAGCGTATACGTTACACCACTGCAGTTGGCGAACTACATTTATACTTCTTTAAGGCTTCTATAAAAAAAGCAAAAAAGGATAGCATCATTCACAATAAAACGCAGCCGCAAGAACACCTCTCATTCACAAAGCAAGTGAAAAGTCTTCATTACTGAACTTCCATTCCTTCATTGGGCTTGAATGTAGACCTTGGCGAAAGGCAAAGGAAACAAAGAGGCATGTAGCTTTTGTTTGGGGAAATCATCGTGACAACATTTTCAGAAAAACCAGGGCCGCATTAGAGTAAAACATTTTACACCCCACAACGTTCGTAAGAAAACATTTCAGCCAATTTTTGTGCCGGACATAATCACTAAAGAAGCCGGCCAGCCGGAGGAACAAAATACTCACGAAGGGGTGTTTGAGAGTTCGGCCCCTGATGAGTAACCACATAGACGCGTCGTCCATAGAGCTTATATTGGACGTAAAATACACTGTAACACAAAAACGTGTCCCATGTAACATCAAGGCAAGCAATTTGATTTATTGACTGCGACACGAAATCGCTTCTATCGGACACATAACAATGAGGCGCCGTCCTTAAATTCTCGCTTCTTGCAAGTCTTAAGAGCGCAACAGAGCAATGATTCAGTCTGACGAATGCCACTAAAAAACACTGCAATGAAGTATTCCTTAGCATCTCGATAAATATTGTGCGTTTTGATTAGTTCAATATCATCTTGCACTAAACTGGTAACTTCCTTTCAAAGAAAAACTTTATAATAAAACCTTCAGCTAATTGAGGCAATTTGCTTTAGTGCATGGCATTGTGTGTTTATTAAAATACTTTTAAGCAATAATGCGAGGTGCGAATGACTTTATCGTGCCTTTTTCTCTCGCGCAATGTATCCGGCAACAGAGAAACATATTTGAATGATTGCGACCGATACGCACTATTGGAGATAATATCCTGCTGGCTGTGAACATTATGCTGGATTCCCCTGCGTTACCAGTGAGTGAACACATCGGCAACGTAATATTTGCCTGGTTGCTACGCCGCTTAAGGGACACAATAGAAGAAACTTAATCATAGCCACGTGCCCTTTTCAACTTTTTCCCACTTCATTGCATTGAACAAACACTTTTATACAACTTTAGCTACGTTTTTGTTGCTTTAGGTATTGCACACACTGATCCACACTACTGTCAGCAATGTCAAAACAATAACACCGTTCACAGAACTTCGTGTACTTTTCGCTAAAAAATGTTCACGAAACCCACTTTTCAAGGTCGCTGCATTTCGATCGATTACTACGAACAGAACAACGACAACAAATGCAAAATGTCTTTGCTTGCCTTTAAAGAGAAGGCCCCATTTGCATCACAATAATCAAACCCGCGCCACAATTTTCTAAGCTTTGTACACGTGTATGTACACTGGCATGTATACGTATATACAAAAAACAAAGACAATTTGAGTTGATGTTTCCACGAGTATACGATAGCAGCAGCAGTTTGCTTTCGGTATGAGTGCTACGTTTGTTTAGTTAGTGTTGTTCATTTTCGTTTTTTTTTACGCTTAAATCTACCCACACAAAATAGGCAACGCTACATTGTCGCCGTGAAGTCACTCTCGCTTGCATGACAATGAAGATTTGACTGGTAAGCTTACTTTGGCATCACCATCGTCTGCGGTTACAACTCCATCCTTTCGTTACGCTTCTGGTGGTTTTGGGACGTTAAAACCGACATATCAATCAATCATCAATTTCCTCACGCTTAACTTCTAGCAGCGTTCCAACAATACTGGGTTGCAACCGTCCGCCTTGGCGCAAAGTTTCGGATTTTTAAAGACGCTTACTACATCCTGCAGCGCATGTAACCGGCGTGCATGTAAACTCATGCACGCCAACATTTAGAGCCATCTGATCGGCTAAGATATGTTCCTGCACGGATTTCAAGATTCTGGCGTAGATTCGCGTGGTTCGTGTTCAAGCAAACGCGAGTGATGATATGAACTCGTTTGTTGCTGTTGCGAGAGCTTTGCGTTGTGGTAACGGCTCAGCTTTCGGAAGATAACTTCGACGTAAGGTAAGCTGGTGGATCGGGGTCAGAATTCTGCAGCAATTGCATGGAGCTCGTGCTGTAGTGTAAGTGTAGAAGTACGTGTACGAACAACCACATTCATTTATGAAGTTGGTGTCCCACCATTACCTGAACCCTAAAATATTAAAGAAACAATACACTTTACGCACGTTTTGCGTCGCGTTCATGGGCGAAGCAATCATAACATCTCTTCATGCAGTGTTTTTGGGAGTTCTATACTTAAAACCCTTTCACCAAAGACCTATAGTTTCCTACGGTATGAAATGAAAGACAGTGTCTAGCTTTGAAACCGAATGCGAGAAATTATTTGAATAGCGCAGGCTACAGTTAAAAAAATATGCTTCATAAATATTTACCGTAAGGGCTCACCAAGAAATGCAGCTGAAAACCGAGGTTGCTACCAAACTACATACACCGCACCAATGCAGCAAGACGAATACGGCATGTTCGACCCTCTCTTGATAACATTATTTATCACCTTCTTTGTTGTTTATTTCATAACGATTTCTGCATCGCAAGTACACCGACGGCGCGCCCAAAAGCACGATAAGCATTTGAAGCCACAGGGACATCTATCATGATACATAGTTCACAAATGTCGATAGCTGCTTTCTTTGAGCTGACTATGAGCCCATGAGGCCGAACGTCAAAAGATGTTTCAGATATTTACGACGTCTAGGGGAAGAAGGGGTCTCTAGGATTTTGCAATGACAAAGTTTTAAACACACGTTCACATACTTTTTTTTTCTTGAATCTTTAACACATACTCTGGAGCGAAGCTCCTTCGGTTTTGACGCTCCTTCGAAATACCCCATCAGAAAAGAAGTAAGCCACGTTTAGTGGAACGAGCCGAAAAGAGCCAAATAAGTATTTCCGCGTATTCAGTGACGAAAACATTTGCATGCGGTGCGAATGTAGGCCGCCGGCTAATATAAAAAACAACTCTAACACTAACATTTCGAGAATGCCCACGATTGAAACCATGTCGCAAACGATTAGGAGTTATGCATAGCCAGCCAGCAGTAAGGTATCGCATTTCGCGGACAGACCAAAAAACCGTTGTAACATTCGTTAACTAAATGACTGTTTTTTTTTCGCCGAAGCACTAAGGGGCATTCTCATTAGGTAAACCAGTAAATGGAATCTTATAACCTTATACGATTACCTAAAAGAAATATCTGGCAGAATACCTACGTTTCCATGGACACATGTACACTCTGCTATGCACCCAGGTGTCATTCACTCTTCAATAGCTCAATTCATTCACTTCAGTGTAGTTCGTGTTTCGTTGAAAAAAAAAGGTGTGTGACAAATTTCGGCACATTTTCTTCGATGACCTCGTTCAGCGCAACTCGAATAGTTGCTTACGGAGCCGTCGACATCACTTTTTACCTGGAAGGAAACAACAACGTTACAACGGAACTCGCATCACTCATCAAGAGAAGGCTAGGCCCAAAATATATACTTTTTTTCCCGTAAGTGAATGTCCTATACGGAGAGACAAGAGTCCGCGCGAAGACAAGCGTCACTTTTTCGCCGTAGCCGACGTCACTGAAAGCCACCCATCGCCACGCAGTCTTCCTTTCGTCAACAAATACACGAAATGAATCCAGACACCCTGAACAGTGAAGAAAGCGTTTTTTTTTCCTTCTCACTGCGCTTCCATGTCTCAACCATAGAAGTAACAAAAGCGTAAACGCCTGTGAAGACGGCACGCTCTTCTTTTTGTTCCAATCAAATAGCGCTTCGTTGTTCGTTCATGAAAAATTTATAAGCACTAACTTGATCTTAACTAGTAGACTACTATAAACAATAGGTGGTTAAGGTTTTTTGAGTGAAACAGCTGAGTTGCAGTCAAGGAAAATGACCCGCACTCTCAGCTTTTCAAACTTCGCATCGAACATGGGACTTTGATGACGCCGTTCGCATGCTGGTTCGGTACTATACCATATATCTGATTTCTCTGAAGCCCAAAGAACTATGAAGTGGAAGCGATGAGTCAATGTTCACCCTACAAAAAAAAGCTTCGTTTTTATCGGCACACACGCAAACATCCCAAAGCAGGTGCTGCCAGAATGTGTAGCACCACGACCATGTGTTCCAGGAGGTTTGGAGTGACATCGTTCTCTACACATCGTCCTTTCGATATTTTGCCTTTCAGTTGCCAACTATTGAACATGCGATGAGCAGTTCATCTATTCCAGAATCAGAAGAGGTTCATCGTAGCCTCGTTAATCGCTAGTTACAACGCGCTATTTGATTAGGATCAAATTTGCGTGCCGCTTCTTACAAGCGTGCAGACCAGTACTAGAAAGCAATCAGCTAAAGCTAATGGTACAAAGCGAGTCCAGCGTTTTGTGGAGACACGCATCTTAATGGCAACGCACACGACACTTGCTGGCAGCCTCTGCGCCGCCTCTCTTTTCTCCGACGCGGTGAAAGCTCCGACTTCTCTCCCTGCGTGCCACCTTTGACGGATACACTTGCCGACGTCGCCAGGCAAGCCTGCCCACGTGACTTTGTTTCTTGCGGACGACGTGCATGTACTGTCGCATCTCTTTCAGCGATCGACGACAGTCGACGATACGGTTAAGGGTTGTCAGACTTTGTCCCTAGAGCCCTTGAGGTCATAGCTGAGTCGGCGACCATTGGCGATCGACGTGCCATCCATGACCGCGCGGCGATGACAGGCCGCGGCGGCGACCGCGGCGGCTGCTTTGGCCTCCCGCTCGAAGATGTCGCAGGCGGCGTCCTGGTCTGACTTGCAGCGCGCCATTGGCGCCTGGCCGCTGGTAGTGGTGAGCACGTGCGCGAGGTCGTCCGCGACCTGTGTCGGCGACAGGGACTCCGAGCCACACGACGAGCTGTCACTCAGTTCGGATGTTGGCGGCCGGCGGCTGAAGCGGGGAGAGTGGCTGCCCGGTCGCCGACCCAGGATCTGGGCCTGGATGTGCTCGCAGATCCGCTTGAACCTCCGGATTGGACCTGCGTGGAGAAGAAAGAGAGCTCACTGAGTGAGAAGGGTTGGCGTTTAAGCGGTATGAATGTATTAGGGGAGGAGAAGGAGTAGGAGGAGGAATAGGAAAGAAAGGTAATACGGGGAGATCAACGGGTGCACCCCCCCCCCCCCCCGTCCCAGGTTTGCTGCGCTACAGAGCAAGGAAAGGACTAAGTGATTAAAAAGAAGGAAGGAGAGGTAATAAGTGTTATCAGATGGCTTTAGATTTTGGTAGTGACGTATCGCCTCATAAGACATTGTTACAAGAAAGTAGTCGGTCAGTGGCACAGTAATGTACAGGGACCCGCTCTTTAAAGGAGGCAACGACGAAGCTTTGAATGAACAGGACACTGTTTCTGCGATTGCTGTTGTCCGCCATTATTCCTCATCCTTAATATATGTATATACATGCGGGTTCTTCAAATTAAAAGTTGTGAAACAACATTGTACGTATAAGTGAATATATTATTCAAATTGTACACTATGGGCCTGATCATCACAACCCAATGATGATCGATCCAAAGAATTTCTTGTTCCAATAATTGCTGTGGCCAAAGATCAGACCTAGTCCTTCACAGCGTCCTTGAGTTTGTCGTCCAAATCGAAGCGGTTCCGTTGCAGATGTCTCCCCCCCCCCCTTTTTTTTTTGTCAGGGGACCAAACACATGTAACGCGGAGGTGACTAATGCTGACCGGTTTAGTGTTCCAAGCCCTGCAGTTAGAAATTGTATAACGCGTCGCGACGCCTCACTCTTAAAATTTTGCAATGTAAACACCATCGTGTCCTCACTCGTACTGCCCCATAATTTGGGAGGTGCTCTTTATATGAGCCTTTGCTCTCTCCGCCGCACGCGGACAACCCCGAATGCTCCGATATACGACGGCCCATCCAGTCATATCTCTAGACGTCTCGCTTCATTCTCCCATATAGAGGCATTTATAGAACGGTCATGTTGTCATGACGTTTGGTACCTTTTTATTTGAACACCCCTTGTAGTTTTTTCTTGTAACATGATGGCGGAGGTGCGGAGTATGCCTGCCTCTGTTTCCTCGGAAACCAATACGAAATATCGGAAAACAATACGAAATATCGCCTACCTTCTCCTGCTATGGCGTAAACAATAATGTACTGCCCATTTAACTCTTCGTCGTCACATCACTCACAGAGCGGGTCCAAATACTGCCTTGTGCCACTAGTCCACTACTGCCATGTGACGATGCGCGTGACAATGTGCGTTTTTATCTTGCTTTGTAGGTACGTGACAAATCTAACTACAGCAGAACGCTTCCAGAACTGGCGCATATACACAAATTAATCATGCGTACACTAAAGATGATTCCTTGCGCTTGAGTTGTACTGAGTGCGTAACACAGCGTGGCATTTACAACAAAGCATCGTGTATGACGACGTATCTTAAAGTGCTGAACTTAAAAGCTTAACAGCATTTGACTTCATACAGGCAAAGTATAATAAACTCACGCCAGTGAATGTGGTTCGAAACATTTTCGTAAGCGGCGGTATTTTCGTGGTCCTAATGCCCACATATTTATTCACTTTGTATTATTTTTATACATACTGTCAATACCACAGCGATTATAACAGGTGGGCAAAGTGAGGCAGTGATTTTAGTACCAGTCAAGGAGAAAATAAAGGAGCATACAAACACATTTTTCATACAAAAACACGTTGACATTTTTTGTGAGTAAAAACAAAACAAAAAGAAGTAAAACCGTATTAATGTTGCGAGGCCATCAGTTCAATTTCTATTAGAAGAAAGTAGCTAACGATGGGCTACTATGAAGGAGAGGTTTAGATTATTCAGCGCGATGCCCCGGTTGTTTTTGTGTTAGTGCAGTGTGCCCACGCTGTTTTTTATGGTAAAGGGTAATTTCATTCTCTTATCGCAAGTGGGAAGAACGATAATTTGAAAACATCCGTGTAAAAACTGGTAAGGGGCAAGGATATGAGAGTGTTTCTGGCCTTCAGTTCTAGTTGCGGTTCACTTTATGTAGCGGGACTTGCCTATATTCACGTGATTGTGTAATAGTACATTACCGTCAAGCATGCCAATTTCACCCAGATTTTCATGGTTTGTAATCCAGTTATCAAAAGCAACTACGCATATGTTCAGTTAAATTTACCAAAAATGATGCTAAGTGCTCTCTTTTAAACACAATCCGGCTTGCTGGCAAGTTTGTCTGTTCGTATACGGGATCCATGCAGTTTTTGCGTACCTCAGGACCGGTCTGATAAGTGTATTACAGGCCAGTCACATTTTATCTGGTGGTGCCGGATGTAGTCACCTTTTCATAAGCAGAGTACTTCTTTGCGCAGATGATGTGATGTAATAAATATGAGATTCTCATCGTTGATCATTTGAAAAAGTGACCATTACGTATTTATGTTTGGTCGCTTTAAAAAGGGTACTCCGCCGTGGTGGTCTAGTGGCTAAGGTACTCGGCTGCTGACCCGCAGGTTGTGGGATCAAATCCCGGCTGCGGCGGCTCCATTTCCGACGGAGGCGGAAGTGTTGTAGGCCCTTGTGCTCAGATTCGGGTGCACGTTAAAGAACCCCACGTGTTCAAAATTTGAAGAGCCCTCCACTACTGCGTCTTTTATAATCATATGGTGGTTTGGGACATTAAACCCCACAAATCAGTCAATCAACATTAAAAAGGGTAGCTGAATTAAAGACATAATAAAGTCGAATAAAGGCTTTTGATTATGCTAAAGAAGCCGACTTTTATTTTTCATCGATATAGAATTGTTAATGACTGCAACTAGCTGAAACTTCGTCGAAAGTCGTATATAAGGTGATGTTGTAATCATAGTTGAAAGTTGGCATCTTCGTACATGATGCAGTCATCTGAAATCTGTATCCAACATTACCAGATGAAGGCTGATCATTAACAAAACTCCTAATGCTCCGGCCCCAATACTCTACTTTGCAGTATGCCAGAGGTCACCGGTATGACTGAAGTTTGAACATGATTTATTGCTGCGAACTCCACCTGTCTGCGTCAAGAATTTGACCCTCGCCCGTAATAAGTTGGAGTTTCAAGGTAAGCCTTGTTATGCGACGCCCTATCAAATTCTTTCAATAATACAGCTGATCCAAGACGACGACGAAGTGATTGCTTAGCAGATCGCTGTTCCAGTAGGTGCCCTCTTTTTTTCACCTAATTATAAGTGAACTTCGCGAATATCACATACGTGTCCGTCGGTGATGGACGTGGACCCCCACAGACGCCCGCCAGATACGCGGCGTCAGTGGTGACCGCATTCAGGAAGCGTACGGGACTCTACAGCGACTACGACAGCGAGGGCACTCTTGTTTACCCAATGAGCAGCGAAGAGCCTTCCGACGACGACGATTTTAAGCTGGTGCTGAGCTGTAAAGCGAAGAGGCGGAACGTCAGAACATCTTCATCATCGAGTACGTTGAACGACAGAGTGCCAAGGATACCCGTGACAAACACTATTTTTTTGTCCCTGAGGTACCGGACGGTAACATGAAGCGCCTCAACAGACAATCTGTTTCGGTGATGCTGGAAGGACTCGTGCCAAACGAGATCACAGACATCAGAGTGAACACGCGTAAGAACGTATTGGCCATCGACGTTTTACATGCTGCGGCACTTATTATACTACGCAACGTCAACGAGCTCTAACGTCGTCACTGGAGTCATCTATTATGTGGATACTGCCATTTCCAGCTCCAACTTCGATGTTCTGGTCAAACCGGCAAATGAAGCCAGCGTCATCGCAAAAGTTGTCCGTTTGGGAAACTCACGCTGCTTGAAGATCATGTTCAAAGGCGACTCTCTTCCTTCACACGTAAAGGTGGGCCATTTTCGGCATTCTGTGCGACATTTCGTATCGAAGCCCTTACATTGTCATAAGTGCATGAAGTTGGGCCACGTGAAAAGTGCATGCGAAAATAAGACGGTGTGTCCTCGTTGCGAGGAAGCCCATTCTGCGGATGACTGCGAAGAAACTACCCTGAAATGCTCGAATTGTCATGGGTCACATGTAGCTTCGTCAAAAGAATGCCCCAAAATCAAAAGAGAAATAGCGGTATTGAAACAAATGGTCAGAGACAATTCGTCGCATCGAGAGGCTGCCAGGACCGTCTGAAAGAGGCGTCATCGTCGCCACAGTTCATCAAAGAATGCCGCAGACGCTGCATCGACAGCACCACTCCTCCACCCTTCTCTTTCACCACCCTTGCCTACCAGAGCGAAGGCGGTCAGCGCGGTCAACAGACCAACGAACAGCCATGTTGCAGATGAATCAGTTTGGCCTTCATTGCCGAAATCACAGCCACCTGAAAATTCCAAGTGCACATCGACAATCACATCCCCCAGCCAGCCGCCGACAAGCTGCCTGAGGAGGACACGGAAGTCATCAGAATGTTCTGAACACTGCTAGATGCCATGCGAAAGCTGTGCAGCAGCCTGAAGTCTGCACTCACTCAGAGTGCACTACAAGTACTGGATGCTCTAAGTCCAGTATTTGCAAGCCTCCAGTAGCAACCATGGCTCGACCAATTTTCTCCTTCCGCAACGAGGTTCGACAAGCGTCGATACTGCAGTGGAACGCGAGAGGCCTGAGATTCCGCATCTCTTCATTCCGTCAGTATATACTCATGAATCGTATTCCTATAATAGTTATATGAGAACCAAACGTGCAACAACCTCCTAAACTATCAGGGTATGAATCTTTCGTTTCTTCAACGTGCGAGGAATGCAGCAAGGTGGTTGTTTACATTCACACAGATTTCACATATGTGCATCACGCAGTTCAACCACATGATGACAATCAATATGTCTGCTTACATGTTAAAAAGGAAAAAGTGTCATTCACACTCATTGGTGTCTACATATCACCATCCGGACGGTTTCAACAAGACCGACTACGAGACATACTGACAACTACGGGCCCGTGGGTTATAACTGCAGACTTCAACGCGCATCACTTAATCTGGGGTAGTTCGACGAGTTCGACGAAAGGAAGAAACCTCGTGTCATTAGCCTTCAAGCCCGACCTTTGTTTCATAAATGATGGCTGTCCTACATACCTGTGGGGCCTTATGTACTGCAGTTGCCTCGATTTGACTCTGGTATTCAGAAACTTCCGGTCGAAAGTGCACTGGTTTTCAGACATCAAAACGCATGGGAGTACTCGACCACATTCCAACTTATATGCGAATAAGGGGTCTTAATAACTCCTCTCCTAGGACCACAACACGAAGAATTGATTGGTCTAAATTTCAGCGACTCGTGGAAAATACATGCCGTGAAGACCCGACCAGAACTTGGCGGATGTCATCAAAGAGGCAATGAGGGAAGCTTCCTGTCTTCTCCCGTTCACCGGCAAGCATTCAGATTTCGACGTTGAACTGGAAAAACTGTGTGCGCTTCGCCGAAGTGCGGAAAGGAGACACAGACGGACGAAAGCAATATTTGACTTGAGGCTGGCATGACGCATACAGAAATAAGTCCAACGACGTTTAGAAAAACTTGAACGCTGGAACGCTGGAAATCATTCTGCGAGTCATTGGATCCCCGAAAGCCGTTGTCACGCATCTGGAGCACTATTCGTGGCCTGCGCTCGACACCCCAACAAAGACATCCTTTCATGGCTTTAGCCCTACATTCAGGCCACATCCAACTTGAAGTGGCAAATGAGTTTTGTACGCGAATCGCTGGTGTGTCCGCCTTGTCCGCTGGCACCATTAGGAGTGTTATCCCTGAACCCCGCATCTCCGAAATGGACAATCTTTTCACTATAGAACTTGACGCATCTTTGGCGGCTTCCCGACAATCATCTTCACCAGGATTCGATGGCATCACTTACGCCGCTCTAGCCAACCTTCAACAGGAGGCCAGGGGACAGTTGTTATGCTATTACAACCACTCATGGCAGACGGGCGTTGTTCCCCAGGATTGGAAAATAAGTCCACTTGTGCCACCACTCAAAGCAGGAAAGTCACCATTTGATTTGACATCATTTCGCCCTATTGCCCTCGCAAGTTGCGTAGGAAAAGTCATGGAAAGGATGATACTTACATGCCTAGAATGATACCTCGAGCGCTACAACGTATACTCAAACAGAATGACGGGTTTTCGGCGAGGTAGGTCATCTCTTGACAACGTGATTGATCTCACAACATTTATCCAGCAACAGAAGAGCCTCAAGCGCATACCACTGGCACTCTTCCTCGACGTCAAAGGGGCTTATGATAACGTAACACATAAAGTCATCCTAGACTCGTTGGAAGCTGTCAGAATCGGTGGTCGGATGTTCCAATGGATCCGAGATTATTTGACGAGAAGGTACTTTTTTGTACAAACCTTAGATGGACATACCACCAATTACTATACCTCCCGTGGCGGCCCTCAGGGCGCCGTATTAAGCCCACTTTATTTAACTTCGTGATGGTAGGCCTTCGTGAAATTTTGCCAAGTACTATCCTCATATCCATATGCTGACGATATTTGTCTATGGACTTTGGCTGCAACTCGTCTACAAGTACGTGCAAGAGTCCTGCAGGCTGCCACCCTGACATGCTCATATCTCCGCAACCAAGGTCTTTCCATCTCAACAGAGAAATGTGCATTGGTTGCGTTATTTCGCCATGACACAATACCCCGTTACCATCAATGGACAAAATATTCCATACCAGAAGAGCCATCGCTTCCTGGATGTGATTATTGACAGGGACCTTTCGTGGAGTGCCCACTTCAGTTACCTGAAGAGAAGGCTAACTTCCATCGTCCATATAATGCGGTTCCTCTGCGGCAAATCTTGGGGCACATCGATAAGGTGAATGATGCAGCTATACAGGGCACTGTTTCTGGGATTTTTGTGCTACAGCTTGCCGTTACTGGCAAGTACGTGCAAGACGAACATCCGCACCCTCGAAAGTCTCCAAGGACAAGCACTACGCGTGTGCTTGGGATTGCCGCGATGCACCTCAATTTACGGGGCAATTATGATCGCAAGAGAACATCCAATTCAAACATACATCAACACTGACAATTTGAGAGCCCACATAGGACACCTCTGCTGAGTTCCTGGTCACCAGGTTGCAGTGTTGCCACTTCAAAGACCACAAGCGATGTTTTCAAAGAATATTTCTGCCCATAAAGAAGGCCTTCCTTTTGGCTTCACTCCAGCAACAAGACCAGCGTCACCTCCGTGGTGCCTACAACAACCACAGGTGTGCCTCACTATTCCGGAAATAACTAACAAGAGCCGTCATTCAACAGTGGTCCTACGACAGGTGACATTGTCGCTACTCAACGAAAAATACGGCCAGAGAACCCACATTTACACCGATGGATCGATCTCGGCTGACAGCTCCACAGGTTCTGTTGTCATCCCGACGTACCAGGTCACTATAAAGTTCAAACTATCGCATAAAACAACATCCACAGCAGCGGAGCTTGCCGCCTTACGTGCTGCTATACTTTACATCGCGGAATCCCGGCCTCAAAAATGGGCTGTGTTCTGCGACTCCAAGGCATTTCTTCAGAGCTTGCAATCAGCTTTACGACAAAGGGTGCATCAACAACTAGTGAATGAAATAAGAGGAGTGCTTCACGAAGTTTTATCGGAAGGACATGACTTGGTGTTCCAGTGGTTACCGGGACATTGTGGTATTGTCGGTAACGACCTTGCTGATAATGCTGCCCGATCCGCCCACGTGGACGCCCAGACAACCCCAATTCCATTGTCGAGAGCCGACGCTGCCAGGGGCCTTCACTCATTCGCTAACACAATGTCGGAAACTTGGCTGAGTGACCCCAGTGTCGGGAACCGCCGCCTACACGAATGGGACCCATCGAGAAAGCTTCAAGTTCTATCGGACCTCTCCCGCCAGGATGCAACTTTACTGTGGCGCCTGTGGTAAGGAGTAACTTTTACGAAAACATACTCCTTTCGCATAGGAATGGCGGATAGCTCCCGATGTGAATTGTGCGACACTGACGAGACAATAGAACATCTACTGTGTTCATGTGAACGTTTTGCAAGCGAACGCAGCTTTCTGCGCGGAACGTTAGAGACACTAGACAGTAGACCGTTTTCTGAAGAGAAGATCCTTGGATCATGGCTCTGCGCGTCGCAGGCCAGCAAAGCGACGCGGGCATTGCTAAGTTTTCTAAAGACGACCGGACTACGCGACCGCTTATCAGCGTGCAATGGACAAGGGCACATCTACACACACGTTACCCTTCACTTCTCTCTCTCTTCTCTTTTAATCCCCTCATTCCTTCCCCCAGTGCAATGTAGCAAACCGGACGTGCGTCTGGTTGACCACCCTTCCTTTCATTTCTTCCCTTCCTTCTCCAGCTGATACAGATCGATTTGTTATAACATTTGATGTGTTGTAACACTCGTGCTGTTCGACATTACTCAGCGCTTCTCATTGCTGCGTTACAGTTGCTCAATGTATTCACAATTTGTCAAATGCGGGGTGCCAAATCCAGGTGTTGCTTAAGGAGACATATAAAAAAACGGTGCTTCAATATATGAACCGCAGCGCAGCTTATTGGAACTGGTTTGTACAAATGCAAGCGTTGCTTACCCGATAAGAGAGTGAAGCTTATGCAGTAGACAGAAGGCTTGCTGTCGTGCGAAGCTCCACCATTTGGGCTGCCATCTCCCACAATGCTGATGTCGACGTGGAAGCGTACGTTCCTCTGGAACATGGTGGTGCTCCCTGGCCGCTTGTATTCCACCCGGAAAGACATCGGGGACACCACGCTGTGGCTTAGGTCTGCAATCTGCCACCAGTGCATAAATCAGAAAATAATCACAAAAAAGTCACAGCTTTGCCGCAAAGGCGAAGCAATGAATGCGATAGCAACAATTTGAAAAGTCACGCACAAAATGGAAAGCAAATCAAAACGTGCCCCACGTTTCTCGCGCACAAATAACGCACGAAATGTACTCACAGGTGCGTATGCATGCGAATGAGCGTCTCACTTGTTACTTCGCTGAGTCTGAAAAGCGCGCGCTTTTTGCGAACGAAGACTGCTATGATTGCAGTGACCTTTGCGCGCCAGGTAACTACAGCAGAATCGTTCCACGTAAAGCCCGAGGTCAGCCAAGGAGTACGATCCTCCCTCCTCGCCACCGCGAGATAAGGGCGCGCGAGTAGCGTAGCTCTCCTTCTCTAAGCCGGGCAAACTACGCGTAGGATATTAGAGCGGGTGCCACTGCACGATGTGGTGACGTGCGCTCATTGCGCCATCTTTCTTGAAATGCCGAAAACACAGCAGCGGTAAGCGGTAGATATAAATAGCTTGCTGTTCCAACAGTAAAGAGCGTTCTCCGGGGTAGCTCAGCGGTTAGCGCCTCGCTTTCACGACGCAGTTGTCCCAAGTTTGATTCCGCGCGCCGGAGTGTTTGGGACCTTCGACAGAAAAATTTTGATCTGTCTGTCTGTCTGCACGTTTGCCTGTTTATCCGCCTTTAACGATACCTCAAAGGGCATCAGACGGTAGACTCCATCCGCAGCGCACCAATATTGCTCAAGCTTCAGCGTTCATAGTTGTGCGAATGTCAAATAAAAATTTGGCCCTGAATCTGCATGTCATCTTGAAATGTCGTCGAAAGGCGATAGTCTTGCGTGTGTAGAGAGTGAAAAATTAATTTGATGTTCTGCGCAAGAAAATCGGTGAATGGTATTTTGGAGGTGCTGCGTTAGAGTGCCTCGAGCGTGCAGCAGAGGCGAACGAGCGCATCAAGGCACGCCACACGTGGAACATGAGGGCCACCTGGCAGTCTTTTGGGAAAACAAAGCGCGTAGCTCTGAGACGGGTGTGCGCGCCGGTCTTAGAGGTGATAAGCTGAGGAACGCAAGGCGATGAGAAGGGGCCTCCACCGCGACGTCTTAGCAAAGTGTCGGAAACACTCACCTTTTCGTGCAAGCATTGCATGGTCAGCGCAGCATGATAAGCGCTAGGGTCATTAAAATTACTTATGTATGCATTTTCTAGTGAAAGATGCACATGCGTAATATATGCGTGTTGTTATGGTGCCCGAGACTTGAGCGATAATTACTTGATAATTGACAATCGCACAAGTATGAACGCTAAACCTTGAGCAACATTGGTGGGCGCTGCGGATGGGGTCGGCAGTTTCAAGTAACCGGTGCCGTTAAGAGTAGCCAAACAGACAAAAGTACAGACAGACAGACCAAAATATTTTTATCGGAGGTCCCCAAAAGAGATTATTGTCTTTAAAAGCAATGATTACGCATATCTGAGGCACCATAAAAACACGTCGATGTTTTGTATATGTGCCTTTATACTACAGAAGGCACACACAAGTAACTCTGAGGACCGTAGCGTTTATCGCGCTGCGTTGACAATGCAACATGATGCTCACAAAGTGTTTCCAACGCTTCGCTAAGATGACATGGTCGTGGCACCTGCCCCTCGCTTTGCGTTCTACACCTTATTACCTCCGAGACAGGCGCGCATCTTTCTCCGTGGGCGCTCACGCCTTCATTTTCGAAGATAACTGCCAGATGGCGCTCGTGTGTAACGTGCCTCGATGCGCTCGTTCACCTCCGCTACACGCTCGAAGCACTTTTACGCAGTGCTTCCAGAATAACATTCGCCGATTTTCTTGCGCAGAACATCAAATAAACGTTTCGTTCGCTCTCTCCAGATGCAAGACTATCGTCTTTCGACGACATTTGCAGTCTAACATCCAGATTCCGGGCTGTTGTTTGCTGGATTTTTTTTCTTTCTTGCGTTTTCACATATATAGATACAATACATATACGGTGCATGACATCGACGCCGACGCCGGCGGCAAAATCTAGCCGAGAGCGTTCATATAATTGCGATAGCATTAAAAAATGAAGTACCCTTGAGTGATCTGTTTAGTTCAACAGCAACTTCCAGCGTTGATGTCTAGGTGATCCTGCTTACATCTATCTATCTATCTGATTGATAGATTGATATGTGGGGTTTAACGTCTGAAAACTACCGATTTATGAGAGACGCCGTAGTGGAGGGCTCGGGAAAGTTGGACTATCGGGGTTCTTTAACGTGCACCCAAATCTGAGTCCATGGGCGTACAGCATTTTCACCTCCATCTAAAATTCAGTCCGTCCGTCCGTCCGTCCGTCCGTCCGTTCGTCTGTCTGTATGTCTGTCTGTCTGTCTGTCTGTCTGTGTCTGTCTGTCTGTCTGTCTGTCTGTCTGTGTCTGTCTGTCTGTCTGTCTGTCTGTCTGTCTGTCTGTCTGTCTGTCTGTCTGTCTGTCTGTCTGTCTGTCTGTCTGTCTGTCTGTCTGTCTGTCTGTCTGTCTGTCTCGATCGATCGATCGATCAGTCCGTCGGTTGGTCGGTCATTCTGTCAATAGAACTAATTTTTTGCGAAAAGTAACATCTATGTAAAAGGAATATTTGAACACGTAGCCAAAGGTGAACGTTTTGCTGGGCGACAAGGCGCAAGAATTATTCTAGAATAGGTGGCGTAATGAACAAGACAAACACCGAAAAAACCAGTCTCTCTGTCTGCACAATCTTTCCTACACTTGTTAGTTCTTTGCGCACGCCACATATCCTATAATAAAGTGGCTAGAGGCCGGTCCAATACGCTATGCAACAACGTATGTACAGACTTTGAATGAAAAAATAGTGCTGGAATAAGACGGTGACGAGTCTTCTCGTCTGCATCCGACGTGTCTTCTTGACGTGTCTTCTCGTATCCATCCTGTTCCAGCACTGTTTCCATAGTGAAGGACAGTACGTAACAGCCAACCCAACACGAGACGCTGATACGTATGCACGGGTCCACCAATAAAGGAAAAAAAACAACATATGCGCAAGCACACGTTTAGGTGTAAATTGGTCAACAAGTTTTAAAGAAAGTGACTTTATCCTTCCTATGCATACATTTTGCACGAAAATTTCTTTGTTCAAAGCGGTAACACTCAACATTTTAAATTACCACCGTTTATTATAGTGTGACAGGTGACCAGAATGGTGCAACAGCGGGGTGACATGTGCACAAGATACAAAAAACTTTATGAAACCAAAAATTTATATTTTTGAACCCGTGTCCACCTCTCGTGGAATCACCGAGAGAATTAAGTGCGTGACAATGCATCAATACCATTCGATTGACCATTCGATTGCTCAAGGAACCGGAGAGAACAATTGTTGCATTGACAAAAGGATAATGGACCAATTGCACGCACTCATAGGCACCTTTTACACATAGTAAAAGTGATAATCAAACAAAACAACAAAAGAACAACGTCAGCGAAAATTTAAAAAAAACTGCATCAAAAGGTGACAGGAACGAGGACGACACCAAATTACTAGCGCTTGTCCTGATATGTCTTCCTCGTAACTGTGTGCTAGCACTATGACAGCTTTTGATGCGGTTTAACCAACCAGCCCGAAAAGCCACATTGGAATAAAGTGCTATTGAAAGCACACCTCTCGAAGAAATAAGCTGAACAGTGTAAAACCAAAGTTCATAGAGCTATTCAGCCATCTTATTCGAACGACAGCGTCCAAGCATTAGCGCGAAGAAGCAGGTTTCCTACGATAATGGCCATATACAAACGCTCACGATTAAGCCCGTTAGCAGGGCTTACAATTCATGCCTGATGTTTATCTTTGGTGGGACTATGACCAGCTTGTAGGTTTCGGTGACGTTATATATGCGCTGTGGCAAAGATCACTGTGAGTGATGGTAAACATGCTTCCCAAACCGCGTTAACGAACAAGTACTTCCTATTAGTTTACCACCGACTGTGCTTGCCGATTTCAAGTTTCAAACCGTGATCAATGAGGAGCAGACGTAGATGCTGAACTCAAAATTCGTGACAATGAATATCGTCGATCGCTGCATAACCTGGTACTTCGTTATATACGAACATGAAGCCCAAAAACCTGCTGCTTCGAATCGAACATGAAGCCTGAAAACGTGTACTTTCTGTCAAGGCCAGTTTGTCTCTTTGGTCGTTCGTTCTTTTCGCGCTGTTCATTACTGTCATTGACAACCAACTCGGGTGAATTGCTACCCTTGTTTTATGCACCAAGCGTAGCTCTCTAGAGAACAACGCTGTTGTTTGACGTTAAATAAATAGATATCCAGGTCGTGAGCCGTAAGGAGACGCTGAAGGGGAATTCCTCAAAAAGTACGTACCGAAAGGAAGGCGTGGATGAGGTCAGCCTTGACAGAACTCAAAGGACGGTCCTTGACGAGTATCACGTGGCTTTCTTCCCTCTCGTTGGCCATTAATCCTCCGAACCAGGATCGTTTTGAGAGGCTGCGAAAAGCATGTGTTATGTTCGCTCCCAGATGGAAACAAATAAGACAATGCTTCAGATAGTGCGTGTACCAAACAACAGACGCAATGTACACACAACGTCAGCCCCTACTGTTTCCTCGAGCACATCTTTCACGTTTTTTTTTCAAGCAGGTAACACGGTACATTTTATTCTAAACATCAAAGTCTACAGTTACTTTAGTTTTGAACCATCCGATATGAATTTCCTTGCCTGTTGTTCCGCACAGCAGCATATTTGTGTCTAGATATTGATCCAGATGTGTCGTCTACACTCTTGGCCTAAATACTCTAATCGTTTTCTAGGAATAACGAGACGAGTTCATTCAGCTGAGAGTTTAAGCATTTTTAACAACTTACATGATTAGTCCTGTTTTCTAAATACTCGGCAACACCGATGGTAAAAAGTAAGGGGTGACGTCGGAACAAACCCTGATCAGATCATTCGACAATCTTAAAGAAAACACGACTGGTATGACCACTTGGCAAGTAAATCCCACTTTTTGTAATAGATAATGTAGACAAGGAAAAGCTGTGTTTATACACAACAGAGAGGACAGGTCAGGTCTATTTCGCCCCTTTTGGCGGTCGCTTGTGTTTGGAATGGGTTACATTTTGTTCTCTAGCATACAAAACGCATAACACTCGGAGAAAATGTTGACTGTTTGAAAAGTCAGTGTCAATTCATCACAAAACGAACACTTGATACTATCTGATAAAGTTTTTTTGTTTGCTTTGTTATTTCACAGAGTTGGCAGTTTGGATGTTCAGCATTTTATTTCCTCTCAATATTTTGATTAGGGATGCTACGCGAGTACAAGATATGACAGAAAGTGTCTTTTACTTATGTTTCCCCTGTAAAGTTGTTACAGTGATGGGAGTTAACATATTCAGTCAATAACAAATGTGTAGCACCAGCCTTCAATCACAATTCGAGAAGTTATTTCAGAAAGCTTTGTTGTAAAAGAAAATTTTGCTGCGGGCAGAGCTTGGCTCTGAGGGCAATGTGAGCAGCTCTCTTTACTAAATTAACGAATAAACCGAAAAGCTGTCACATGGCAAAACTACTCGAACTATTAATGCTTTCGAGGTCAACATTAGAATATATCAAGAACTCGGAACTCTGATATGCAAAGCAAAGTCTTTTTCATGACGCTTTTTATAACATGTTTGCATTACGTTGAAAAGAAGGAGAGTGACATTCATCTTTATTTATGTACAATATTAGATAGGAAATTTTTTGTGTTTGTCTATTTTATATCCAAGCTCTTCAATTTCTGTATAATTGACCTTGTAATCTGCTTGCCTGTACGTTCACTCTTATTGGAAATCTAGAACTGCTGAAAGGTGTTACTTAAGAATTTCATCGCTATAACAGGGCGAAGACTTTTTTATCGTCTACTGTGAAACTTCTCAAAAAGTTTTACTTCGTTTCACTGTCGAGCTTCTTTTTTTGGGGGGTCCCACTAATTTACTTATAAAACGCCCCTTCATAGTGGTTTTCACGGAATCAATCTGCAATGATACGACAATAACTTTTTCCTATCGCAGAAACATATTTACAACAGGATGTCTAAATCTGAAGGACTGAAGATATTTTAGTGGAGAAAAGTTATGGTAAACAACAAAAATAACGTTTATGATGCACACATAAATATTCTAACAAATGTTTTGGCAACAGAAATACTTTGAAAACTATTAGAATGCATGTTTTAAATATAGATAAAGCATCCTTTATGGTAAACTTTCCCTTTAGTAAGAGTCATTTTGGGAGAGTAAAAATAAGGATGAAAGAAGGGCAGGGCTGAGCGCGGTAGGCTACCTTGCACTGAGAAGGAGGTAAGGGGAATAAAAGTTGGAGAGAGGAGGAGAGAAAGTACTAAAGATAAACCAGGTGAAGCTTACTCTGGAGAGGAGTCGGGCGTCAGGCTGACTTCGTCGGATGCGGAAGGGACTGCAAGAAAACAAGACAAATATATTGTTCATACTTTCAGAATATATATAAAATAATGTTATTTATAACAAATTATTTGTTTTACGAAATTATAAATGAATTGAATACAATATACAATACACAAAATTTTGTGTCTCTTGCTACATGGGCTCATGCCCAATCTGACTTTGGTGCAAATCTAGTAGTACTTGTATCAGTACACTGTAATAATGATTTTAGTATGTGTAAGAAGTAATTACAATAAATTCTATTTTTCTCAGTTTCACCTTTTGAGTTTATTATTTTTATTTTTATGCTTTATTTTCACTTGCATAAACTGTTAATAAACTGCTTGCTCGATATGTGCATTTTCATTGCGACAAAATTGTTGTCTATGCCACACATATATAGGGGGTCGTGGTCCCAGTCAAGCTCTTTAGAGGCTTTTTGACCACGGCCCTCCGCATCTCGAATGTTGACATTAATAAAGTTTCAAAGTAATCTCCATGTTGGTACTCAATGACTTGGATCTACATATTTGGCGTAGGTGAGAACTCGCCGTACAAATACTCGGGGATATTGTGTTTTCGTATATGTACGAAGTCGTGAACTGCTAACTGAAGGCTGCATGTAATGCTTTGAAGGAGTGTAAATCCTTGAAAGTTGTCAGTGTAACAGCTTGAACACGGGGTTGCTGTTTTAAAGTTTAATGGTATCAATGACAAAGTTACTTCTCAAATAAAAACGAAAAAAACTGAACCGTGTAATTCCACACTGGCGCTAAAGATTACTTCTCGAGTGTTCCAGGAAATTTAGTGACTTCTGAAAATGCAGAATGTCATTGTCATAATTTGATAACGTCCTGTTTTTCTTTGTAACAGCAGACCTACGTCTCACAACACAATATCAGCTATAAAGAAAATCAGCGAGCCATAAGAGGAATACGGGCCAAACAATGTGGAAAATGTTGCAACCTTCATATTGTGAAACGTGAGACATTTTGGCCTCATTTCATGTATAAATTCTGCAAAAGAACGCGTTCACATTAGTTATCAATGTTTCAACAGTAATGATACCTTGGCTACAGTGACTTCACGAACGCGCTCGCAGACCACGTGCCTTTCATATATGCTACCAACAAACGACCGCACGTTCTACACTCACTTTGCTTCTATTTCCTGTACAACGCTAATTTTTTCATGTCTTCCGTTGCCTTTGGTGATAATATTACCACTTTTATCATTCTAAGGCCTTGCTCTGATTGCAGCACCAACAATATCATACCATTGTCACAGTATCCCACTAAAAAGACTCTGAATTTTGCCGCCACTCTATTAAAAAACTTACCAGCTGCATACGGTCTGTGGACTATGTGTAATGCTGGCGGGCAATTAGCAATCGGCTATGTAGAAGTAACCGCCAAGATTTTGATGGTTACAGGACCATATGGTGTTATCTTCATTACGGAAAATAAGGCTTTGATGTTTCTTTTTGATAATGGAAATAAGTTTGCCGCACCAACCTTACTTTTCAGTTTGTATCGTGTGGACAAATGTTTATAATATTTTCTAGACATTAAGGATAAATACTCATATACTGATCTTTTAATTCATGGTCGCATAATATGGAAGAGATTTAGTGAAATTTCTCACATCATAATTTCATCATCATGCCCCAATCAGGCGTCCCTCTAAATACAAACTTTGTTACTCAAACGTACTTTTCTAAATTCGTGACACAACAATAACTGACTGTACATTAGACTACAATCATTTCATTGCGTTTCTGAAGCGTAGTACGAAGTTTTATGATGCTTCGATTTTTTATCCACACTGCGATGGCAAAACTAGCTCTACTACAACTTTTAGTGCAACCGTCTGAACGTAAAATGATGAATCTGAAATGCTTTTATTGTATTCGAGTTTGCAAATTCTATTGCAACATGCATTGTTTTGAAAACACAGTTACTCGTTTTCTCCCATGTTTCCCTTGTATCATTTTATTCGATAAATGTCTTTGCTTGCATTGTGCTCCATTTCGCCAACAAACAGACTGATAACAGATAACATGTCACTTGCCTTCTCGATTTCATCGTGATACGCTGTTTTTGACGCTATCCGTACGCATATATCTTGGAGAAAAGTGCTAATGCTGATGCAATATTCGGTTAACCTGTACGTTGTTAGTTTGGCGTCCAACATAAATTTACTAGTTAGTCCAATGTTGCTCCAATCTTGTACTAAGGATGTCCAATATTAAGCTCACGGTGTTCTTTTTATGCGTGCTCCTGACAGACTGTCATTTTTTTTCTGAATTCGCGTTTTTTGCCAGTGGCACCTTAATGAGGATTTCAGCAAAATAAATAGCGCAAATAATTCCTTACGCCTATCACAACTTCTTAAAACTCGTTCATTCATAACTCCATCTCTCGTGTAACTATTATGTACACCTGATGAAGACACAACTGTATTGCAGAGCAGAGCCACAGTGACTGCTGCGTATTCGTGTCATATGTTGATACCCTGTTTTCATTTTTGTTGGGAGGCGCAAGCCGTGTATAAATTGAAGCTATTCTTTGTGGTGTATCTTGTCATTTATCCAGTGGCTACAGCATGTCGTGGCACTGTAGTGGACGCCGACTTTCAGATGGAGACCAGAGCGTTCCTAGTGCGAGTCTCAAGCTGTTCTTAGCAGGTGGTATGCATCTGCATCCATCACAGGAAAGAAAGCAGTATGAAACGTAGTGACAAGTGCTAAATTTTACCAGTCCCACGTAAAACCAACAGCTGGCTTAAGGGCCACACCATCCTCATCCTCGCTCAATTTCTACGCCCTGAGAGTGTGCCGGTCTATTCGTATATGTACTGACCTTGTAGTTTTCTCCTGTGGAAGCGCGGACTGCCGAGGAAGCTGTTCTTAATGGTGTGCAGGCGTGATCGCCAATAGGGTTGTCCGAGGGAGGGTGAGCCTGGTGGCGTGTTGAGCGGGCTCTCGTCCGGGGTTGTGGCGCCTCGCGGTGAAGGTCTCGGCGAGTTGAGCGGCGACACCGCCGGACTTGGTATTCCACTGCCGGGGTGCAGACAGCCCGACCCGCTGCCTCGCCGCATACTGCGCACGCAATGGGAGACACATGGAAAGAGTCCGTTACCAAAGTGGTGTAGACGTAACTTGAGCGGTTATAGTTACCATTTTTCTGCATAACAAAAATGCATTTGAAATGCAGACATGCAGCTAGAAATTCTTCCATCCGAGCACAGAATATTAAAATTCGAACCAGTCATTTTCTCTATCGTCATAACTTTGCGATTTCTTTCTGTTTTATCGTCATGCTCGTTATTTTGTTATAATTATGGTCTGTACATGAATAAAACAAGATACCTTAAAGCCAAATTTAGGCCCCTGTTCCGCTATTTTGTTTTAGGGTTTACCACTACAGTGCCTTAGGAGAGGCCTTAATAATTTGTTTCGGTACAAGTTATACTACTCCATTTAGGTACAATACCATAACTGTATTGAAGGCATTACTGCTAGTATACTCTGCCTCAAAAAGAAGTGATTGTTTTGGAAAAGAGAGTTAAATGTGGGGCAAGAAATTACACCCGCAAAGGGAGTGACTGGTACTGAGGTTTTAGAGTGAGAACGCAACATATATCAGTCCCTTTTTTTTCGTATTTTGTCCACATTCATTAAAATAATGTTTCTGAATTCTTCTCTAGATTGTTGTTAGTTTAGTGCACAACATAATCTAAATATACATTTTTTTGTTATCGACAACCGATTCCCAGCCCCTTACAAACACCGTCAAAGCCTATGACGTCACAATTTGCTGATGTGGAAAAATCAAGCCGCTGTAGTCGCCCATTTTTACGTTTAGTACATGGAAATTCTGTTTATGAAACAAGAATAGTGTACTTTGTATTGTAGAACGTTATAGTAATTCAAACAAAACTTTATTTTGGTATTCTTTTAGGTCGCCATGAACTGAACATGCTTGTTTTAGTCTACCGATTCAAAATTTGAATAGGTATACTAAAACAAGTATGTCCAGGGTATATAGACGTACCACTCAAAATTTATACGCGCGCCTTCGAAGGTTTAGTAACAAATAAGGATGAATATATACGCTTCAGTTTTCAAAAGCGCCCACCAGAATTCTACTGTCCTGTAATGACGTCAGAAAGAGCAGGAGGTTTACACGTATTTAGTGTCTCTCCTTCAGTGAGAAAAAAGTGAAGCTGTTCTAAGGTAGTACTTTTTGTGCTTACTATTGAACGCAGTACGTGTACTGTTTGCTGATCGCTACCACAACTGTCTAGCATGAGGCTTGCAGCTTAGCATTGAGCAGTCTTGGAAAAGAAAATATTTAAAGGAAAGACTACAGAATATGAAGGCACATCTTATAAACAAAATGATCTTGTTTGCGCACGAACACGAATAAATAATTGATGCAACAAGCTTGAATTAATTTCTTTCTATTTTTTTTTTGTCCTCTCGGGCAAGCCTGAACTTGCATTAGGTGTAGTACTTGAGCAAAACTTTGTAGTTCATATAAATGCCGGTCACGTTGGCTGAAATAACAGACAGAAGCTGGTGTTCACGTTTCGTAGCTGTATTAGCTATCCCAATGAACCCTAATGCTATGATCTTCGTTTTCGTTTTTGTGTAGAGCATCGACAACTTCTTGGCTTTAGCAATGTCAGACTTTGTCATTCTCTCGAAAGACACGAACGTGGGTGCACAAATGGTAAGCAATAAAGAGCACCCGCCAGCCATCCGGCAGTGTTGCAATTTCGCTCTGCACTGCTCATGATTCATAAACGTGAAGTTATATCGCCTCACGTTGTTTACCTGGATCGCCACATTAGAGACCAAGCAACGTGCATACTGATAGACGGGTACATTGTGTTTGGCGCAATTAGAGATGGCGCTACATTGCATTACTGTGGTATACAAAGTGGCCCGACCCTGAATAGACGTATAGTACCAACTTGAGCGATTTATTGGAGAGAAATAGGATTCTAGCGCGCCACTTGTGCAAATGACCCCGCGGAAACATTTCGCGTGTGCGATGAACAATGTTCTATTAATAATAAAAAAAAACACGCCCACACAGACCACAAGGCCAGGTGCCGGGCGCAAATTGGCTTCTCGTCGCTGGGCGTTCTGCGCGTGTCAGCCGTTAGAGAATTTGTCAACACAGCCCGAGAACAGGAGACACCTGGTCGCCAATTTCGCCGGGGTTCTTCACCTGAATCGCGCGTGCTCCCCGAGAAAGACATTGTCACGAGCAACCGGTTTCGCCGCCATACGGGTCGTTGTCGCTGCGCGTAGCGCACTGACACATCGATGATGAATGGGACTCTAGCTGCCGCGTCGTATGAGAGAAAGTATCGCGACGCCAAAGCCATGTGGCTATACGCTCTGTCTCGGTAAAGCCGTGCAAGGCTGCGTAGGCTACGTGTCTAACATTAATAAAAGACGACCATATCAATGCCTCTTCTCGGTTACAGATTGGTCATTGACGATCGCCGTCAGAGCTCAGTTGCTGTGATTGGCCAGAACGGGGACGCAGACAAAGCACGCACGTTTAGCATGTGTGTACATCACGCTTGATAAAGTCGCTCTATGGTAATTTCATAGCTCCCACAGACACTGCACGATACATTGCGTCAGCAGCGCACCGTCTATTCGCTGCATATACCGCAGGAGTTTCCCATGCGTTACTCGGAAACGGAAAATGAGTCATTACTCTGTGAAAGCTGGCAACCATTGCGTGCGTTGTATGCATGTGTCAAGGCCGCAGGTTGGGTGTGTACGCAAGAAACGTGTCAGATAGAAGCGGAATGGCTTGATTGACACAACCATTTGCGTCAAGGTCCTCCGAGTAATTGATGCGGTGTTGATTCGCTCTTTCCAGAGAAGCATTCACGTTCGGCATGTACGCTCTTACATAGGGGTGCAGAAATAAGGCCACATAGGCAGACTAGGTGCTTTACCTCTCTAAAAATATTGGGATCACAAATTGAATAATGACAAACTGTATCCTGCTTTATAGTATCTCTTTGCGACCAGTATAGCAGATCCTGCTTTCAAAAATCAATATATTTTAAGGGCATAGGCAGTAAATTTTTTTTTGTGGAAACGCACCCTTTTGATAGGGTCATTTTCCGCTTTGTATGCCATGTGCCATGGAGAAAAAAAAATGTCAGGGGTGGGGCACTGGTCCGGTGTGGGGCACTGGTCCGGTGTGTCAATCCTGGCTACGCCACTGGTTATTACGGCCCGAAGTGCTTAACAAAGTCTGTCAAAATGTGTCACTACTGTGGTCTACAGCACTTGTGTTCGAATAGGTGGGTGTATTTTGCAACATCCATGTCCACTTGGCTGTGCCGCTCGAATAATGTCGTCCAGTGATAATGCTTACCCGTACGGATACCGCCGTGGTGTAATCGGTGATCCATCGCTCAACATATCGAATGAATACCTGCAAAAATGAAAAACGCTGTTTTAGTTGCAGTTCACACAGCATATATGCAATAAACAGAGTTTTAAATCAATTCTACGCATTTCAAGAGAAAGACGAGCCTAAGCCTCCAGGTAGACAAAGCTGGTCATCCGGGTGATCACAGGCGTAGCTAAGGGAGATTGGAGGATGAAAGCAGGGAGTGCGCAAACCCCATCGAAATGTTTGATTTTGCGTGAGTTTCTATATACACGCACACCTACAAACACAAGCATCCACCACGGTGAATCAGTGGGCCATTATGCTCCACTGCCGACTTCAAGGTGGCGGGTTCGATCTTGGCCATGGCAGATGCATTTCTGTGAAGGCGAAATGGTAAGGGCCCGTGTACCGTGCTATGTCAGTGCACGCTAAGGAACACCAGATGGTCAAAATTGCTGGAGCCTTCCCCTACGGCGTCGCTCGTAGTGATATCGTGGCTTTGGGACGTACAACCACAGATATTATTTTATGAGTATTAGAAACAGACACACAAAGCTACATAAAAAGCGCTTAAACACTCCCTCCCTCCTCCCCTCTCGAAAATAACCCAATATTTTTTGCTGCCTACGACCCTGCGGTAGCGTACTTTTGTTTGTTTATTACTGGCGCACAAAGAATAGTGAGTAAGTAAGGATCAAATTCTAACGTCAAATCCCCGATCTAGGAGAACTCCAGATCTAGAGTTAACGGAAGAACTGATGCACACTGACAGACACAATGTTAGACCCCGAGAAAGAAAGATACACACGTCCACACGTTCAGTATCACCAATCTTACATATACTGATTTCCGTTTTAGCATCTTCCATTAGCAATGCTCGGAAACTTTGCGATGATCGCACGACACTGGGATACTTCAGCACGCTTTTTTTCCCTCTTGCACGATGAAACACACCTGTCAAACTTCTGGAGCGACTATGTTTCCGTTTAGTTCGCGCTTTTTCATGAACATCTGGTCTTCTGTGGGGGAATGATGTATGTACAGCTAGGGACTGTGATGCGGGGTTCTTGTTGCTGATTTGTTTTTCTCCCGGGCTGAGCCTCAGAGAGTTTTGTTAATAAGGACAAAGCCGTTCGGTTTCCAAGAAACACACAAAAAGTTTAATTGAAAAGAAAAAAGGCAAAGATTCCTCACAAAACAAAACACTTAATAAACAGTTGACTGGACATGACGAAACACATCTGTAAACACCCAACAAGAACGTTCAAAGTCAGTAACTAAACCTAACGTTCGAAAGGGGCTGAGTGATGGGAGTAGCGCAAGAGTATCGGTGCAGTCTCACCCACAAGTTGGTTTTCGGCGGTGATGAGAAACCGGAACGCCGTGACTCCTGCGTCAATGCGTGGGCTGGACGAGGACGAGGGAACGCTGGCTGCTGGCGACACGTCGAAAAGCCCTACCAAATCGTGATAGTTTCGGCTTGAGGAGCGTGGACACGTCGGAGACGGGAGAACGCAGGCTGGTGGCGACGCGTCCGGGAACTAGGGTCGACCTAGTCAAGCAGCTGGGCGCACAGCTCGGGCCCGGAGCCCGACGGCTGTAGCTCGCCTGCCGGAACCAAAGTCCGCAGGCCCTGGAAAGGAGTTCAGGACCGGATGGCCACGGTCCTTTGGAGCGGGAACCCGACAGCAGGAGGCCCCGGCCGGTGGAAGTCCTGTAGGCTCGGGTCCGGAACCCAACGGCCCATCTTCAGCGCCCGGTCCGGTGACGACCTTCCGCTTGCACTGCCTGCCTCGAATTCCCCTTGCTCTGGTCTCCCCAGGCTCCTGCTTCAGCTCTGGCCCACTTGTCTCGTTCTCATTGGAGATACTACTGTTTCGTGGTGTCAAGCCATTGGGCCTTGAAATCTCCGTGTTCGCTGCCCATTGGATGTTTTACCTTTTGTTTACTTCACGTCCTGCCACGCATCCTCGTGCTTGACGCTCTTTAACGTCGTCATTCTTGTTTAAGCAGCACCGCACGTGCACTCTGGTATTTCTCCTTTTGTTTTTTTTTTTTCCGTGACGCGCACTTTTCGAAGGCGCGCACTTTGAACGCGCACCACACATCACATACGCCCCCCTTTTATTCAAGTTTTTTTTTTTAGAAAAAAAAACTGCCGATGAGTGCGCGTTCTGCACTACGTCACAATTAAACCACATATTTGCACCACGCAGTTCAACACATCACCGGGCTACAGTTCGCTACATCGTCCAAATGTCCACACTTAAACTTTAGATTCACCCAATTGCATTTAAAAGTTCTGAAACCCGGAATAAACCTTTTTACTACAAAATCGACTATGGACAAAGCTACTTGTGTCCGCATCTAAAAGTCGAAGTCCAGAAAGAGCTACCGGTTTTCTAACCCTACACTCAGGTTATCGCGTCCCAAACCAGACGCACTGCCCTTCTCGCACGTTTCGAAAGTAACTGTGGCAAACATGCTTTTATGCACTTTCGCTGAAACGCGTGTCTGCGCCCCCGCCGGCCACATGAACGCTTACCGGTCACAGAGGAACAGGGCGCGGTCTCGAGCCGTCGGCGTCGACACGAAACGCACTGAGACACGAATGTCCAAATGCCACAATCTCTCACACAAATGCTTTCTTTTAATTCACCATCTAATGAACACAAGCTCGGGGTGCCCTCAGCAAGCCCAAACGCTCCGACAAGCGTGTGAGGTTCCTGGATTCTTGAGAAGGGATGCCGTTGTGCTCGGTCATTATACAGCTCATCTTGAGTGGACTTAATTATAGGTTCAAAACCAATCACGTTCTCAGGTTCAAGACCCTGTCTGGCATTCTCCATACCTACTATCGAGCCCACCTCCGATTCGATACTGTTTATTTTGAAGAGTGCTTCAGCACTCCCATCGTGTTTTCTCGGACAAATAGCAGTTACGCTATCCTGTGAACTAGAATCCCCTCTCTCTCTGAGTGAGATATACGTATGGTCTAGGACCATTGACGTGATGCCTGCTGCTACCTCTGTCGGTACAAAACAATCAGTGGCCACTATATCAGAGCCTTCATGGCATTCGCTGCCATCTTCCCAATGACGTTCTAGCGCTCCTTCCATGGAGCTATTGAGAGGTAGCCCTACCCCTTCCCGAAATGTGCTCGGCCTCTGAGACGTTCTGATACACACCTCATTCTGAATGGAGCTTCTTCGTTCCCTGCTATCGAAGCTTTGCTCCACAGCATTTTCCACAGCTTCTAGGTCGCCCATATCCAGGCGCTCTTCTTCATAGGTGCTTGGCCTCTCAGAGGTCCCCAAGCAGCTAACGGAAGTAATATGTTCCCAGCCAGAGAAGCTTTCCGTCGCTTCAACAAACTCCTCATGACTCCTGCCTTCTTGGCTGTCCACCTCTCTGCCTTCCTCTATCTGAGCTTCTCGCTCCGAAGTAAGGCTGTCGCGAGGCTCGAGGCCAACCTTGCAGGAATCGACTTCCCTCCAGCAAACGCTGCTATCGGAGCAAACATTCACCGCTTGCTCGACCTTCTGCATCGCCAGCTGCCCCCTTTTCGCCATCGCAAGCTCGAGTCGCCGCTCGAAGTCCACCCTCTCTAATTGGAGCTGCTGCTTCAGTATGCGTGTCTGACGCTCTAGCAACACTTTATTTTCACGCGTTACGCGCTCTAGCTCCTCCTTCTTAGCTCTAAGCACCAATTCAAGCTTTTCCTTCGCCGCCTTTCGTTCTGCAGCCCGTTGCTCACGCTCCCTCTCCATCCGCTCCTCGTACCATACTCTAAACTCCGCTCCCGTCAGTCCCATTTTATCCGCCAACTCAATTAACTCCCACGTGTTCGTCATCGTGTTAACCGCGTCAAAAAATCTACTGGAAAAACAAACGACTTTGTCCTGTCGCAGCGGACGCCAATTTGTGATGCGGGGTTCTTGTTGCTGATTTGTTTTTCTCCCGGGCTGAGCCTCAGAGAGTTTTGTTAATAAGGACAAAGCCGTTCGGTTTCCAAGAAACACACAAAAAGTTTAATTGAAAAGAAAAAAGGCAAAGATTCCTCACAAAACAAAACACTTAATAAACAGTTGACTGGACATGACGAAACACATCTGTAAACACCCAACAAGAACGTTCAAAGTCAGTAACTAAACCTAACGTTCGAAAGGGGCTGAGTGATGGGAGTAGCGCAAGAGTATCGGTGCAGTCTCACCCACAAGTTGGTTTTCGGCGGTGATGAGAAACCGGAACGCCGTGACTCCTGCGTCAATGCGTGGGCTGGACGAGGACGAGGGAACGCTGGCTGCTGGCGACACGTCGAAAAGCCCTACCAAATCGTGATAGTTTCGGCTTGAGGAGCGTGGACACGTCGGAGACGGGAGAACGCAGGCTGGTGGCGACGCGTCCGGGAACTAGGGTCGACCTAGTCAAGCAGCTGGGCGCACAGCTCGGGCCCGGAGCCCGACGGCTGTAGCTCGCCTGCCGGAACCAAAGTCCGCAGGCCCTGGAAAGGAGTTCAGGACCGGATGGCCACGGTCCTTTGGAGCGGGAACCCGACAGCAGGAGGCCCCGGCCGGTGGAAGTCCTGTAGGCTCGGGTCCGGAACCCAACGGCCCATCTTCAGCGCCCGGTCCGGTGACGACCTTCCGCTTGCACTGCCTGCCTCGAATTCCCCTTGCTCTGGTCTCCCCAGGCTCCTGCTTCAGCTCTGGCCCACTTGTCTCGTTCTCATTGGAGATACTACTGTTTCGTGGTGTCAAGCCATTGGGCCTTGAAATCTCCGTGTTCGCTGCCCATTGGATGTTTTACCTTTTGTTTACTTCACGTCCTGCCACGCATCCTCGTGCTTGACGCTCTTTAACGTCGTCATTCTTGTTTAAGCAGCACCGCACGTGCACTCTGGTATTTCTCCTTTTGTTTTTTTTTTTCCGTGACGCGCACTTTTCGAAGGCGCGCACTTTGAACGCGCACCACACATCACAGGGACTCGGTCTCTAGATTTCGTGCCGACTGGTTGTGCCCCCACGATCTCCGACAACAGCGCAGATCTGGCCGACTGGCTCGCCCTACGCCATCTGCTGCCGCCAACAAGAGCTCTCGCCGAGTGGTGCCCCGTCCTCGGACTCCTGCGACTATGTCCATCTTTCCTATCTTCTCCTGGCTTCTGGACGTCGCTGTCCCTGCGCCACGCCCTACCCTTCCCCCTCTCTATCTCAATAGCTTTATTCCTATCCTTTTAATCCCTCCTTAATCCCACCCCTCGTGAGCTACTGCTGAGGTGTCGCACACACCAGTTACGGGGCTCATTTTTCTCTTCTGTTCTCTTTAAGAATCACATAAACACAGCTCGAGAAAACACTCACCGTGGTCCCGACCTTCCATTCACTTGGCACGTGTCCACTCTTTTGCGCGGAGGATCAGCTGTCGTGGGACAAGAGTGTAAGAAGAACATACACAAATTCAGTTGTCGCTACTTAAAATGTCAATACACTTCTTCAGTGACTAACTCTGCCAAGACTTATGAAGCAATGAAACTTCACAGTGTAAGCGAGGGAATCCAAATAGTGTGGTTTCGTTAAATAAAATAGGCTCTGAAATATACTAAGTTCCCAAAACATCGTCTTGCCTTTGGTAGATTAATATAAATATACATTTACATGCCCTAATTTTTTTTTCTGCTGTGCAATAAACTTGAACAAACTAGAAGTAAGTAGTTAAGTAGTACGAATTATCAAGTATAAATGAAGGTGTGACACCGGTTCGTGTTGGTGCATAGAAAAGTATATTAGATACCACGGCAGCGTTTCAATGCTTGTAAAACGCAGAAACGCGCCTGCATATCTTTTCGTTTGACGCTTCATTATTTGCCATTTTGAAAGAGCGGAATGCTAATTCTATTTAGAGGACATCGCTCAATCAATCGAGTCGGTTTCATTCGTGCGGTATGGGCGGTTAGGAGAGTAATTAGTCTCTCTCTACGGAATATGCCATTTGACCTTAACTGGAGAACATTCACATACTTTCGTTTGTTATAATTCCCATTGTATTCTTTGTTTTCATGCATGCATTTTACTACAATGGTGCACTCGCATGATTCAGCGCTCATTTTCTTTTCTCCTTGTCTCCATTCCCTCAGATCACTGTTTCTCCTTCAAGTCACTAGCTTAAGGCTGCCAACATGCTGTAGACGTTTGTGTGGGTAAATTTTTCGACTGTCGCTTTGCTGTTTCGTTCCACAAACTACAATTTTATTGAGATAATTGACATTTTCAAACACTGCACAGTTTTGGTCAATGCCTTTGAGTCATTTACACTCTAAACATGGCAAATGTCTTGGTTCGCTCTCTAGTGACGGTGAATACTTCCTTCTTCTTTCTTTTCAACATTTTTTTGAAACACTATGCATATCTGTCGAGTACCCTAACTTCCCTAATAAAACAAGTTCTCAAGCTCGCAACCAAGCAGACACAAAGAACTCGATCAAGGAGTACATGGATTAATAAATGTACAATTAGGCAGTGTTCCTCGGCAAGTGCCAGGATACGGAGTCCCCAATTCATGGTGCCGATCAAAATTCTGACATGATATGCTCTCCTGCATAATACTTGAACTGATTTTTTTTTATTTCGAAGTAAGTAGTAAAACATTCTCCAACATATTTTACAAAGTACTTGTTTTAAATTTTGAGCAAATACAGCAAATGTGCTTACCACAAAAAACAAGCCTTGTATACTAACAACGTGCGTACCTACCATTCTCGGCAATCATTGTATTTCTACACACGATACTGTAATAGGAACTGCTTGCCAACGACATAATCACCTACCTAGAGCTATGTAGATGGAAATTCTTAATCGTACACACGAAGATGTTAGCTTCGTTTATTGCTTGGCGTTCTACATGTGCCAGATGACGATTATTTTACATACATTGCACACGTTTACAAGATAATAATACTGTAACACTGCCGAAAATTATCTCGATCCAAAGAAGCCCTCTAAACAATGACAAAAACACGCCACGCAGGCTACCGTTGATAATTTGAAAACTTTTGCAGAAGCTGGGACTTTTGCGAGAATTTTAACTTTATACAAAAGATTTTACGTTAATCCTGCGAGCACTAGAGAATGACAGAAAAGGAAGGATTGGAGCCAACGACTTACGTCGATTTTCCTTACCCGATTCAGACCGGTTGCGGATGATGATCTCAGTTTCATCTTCGTAAGACGGTTTTCTACGCTTGCGATCAAGGAGCAGGAAGTAAATTACTTTCTCCGTGTTATGCCTGCGAGAACGAATGGCAGTTTTAAAATACAAGTCACCGTAAGTCTGGTAAGAGAAATGCAAACAAAATGTTAAAAAGTTTGTTATTGCGTACGCAATATGGAAGCGAAGGAACGAAGTTTCTTGGTTAGATTTCAATAACAAAAGGAGCCTGATAGTGGCTATGTTCTCTTTACCTTGTTGACATCATACTATTTCATATACGTTGGTGCAGTTCAAGAGGATATGATTTTTGAGTGAAGAAAAAAGTTTCAGCTAAAATAATATGACCTAAGTCGTAGACACTATAAATTGGGGAATGTCTTGTTCCTGAACTGTTGAGCCATGATGGAAGAGTCAACTAGTGGTCCTATAGTTTACTGGTACACACTCACGAAGCCTCCGAAAATCTGTCAGTAGGATTTGATAAGTGGATGTTTTTAAACTTTGCTTTATTGTATCACGCTACCAAGTACTCTAAATCATTAACAACTTTTTTAAACACAAAATAATGCCAGCTGAGCTAAACAGGAACAAAGAAAACAAGCCAAAAGGCAGGGAGGTTAACCAGGCATATGTCCGCTTGGCTATCCTATGCTGGTGACATGAGAAAGGAAAGCACAAAGATGAGAGAGAGAGTGAAAAATAGAGGCAACGTATCAGCAAATGCCCTGAGGCGTATATATCGGTGGCACCATACAAAATTCAAAGGCGTTCACGTGGGCCTGTAGTTCTCAAAAAGCACAAAAAGATTTGAACTGCCTTCTGAGCCGACGAGCGATGGGGACAGTGCTCCAGCAGCATTTTGTGGGCAGCCGTTCATACAATCATCGCAACGTGTCGGAAATTGTTCTTCTCTTAGAGGCAAGTCGATGGCATGAGCTACACAGAATCGCAGCCTGATTACTACCATGGCGTTTGCTACTAAACAGCTTCTTTGTACAGTGAAAGAAACCACAAGAGTGGCAGATTCCGGTTATTTCATAATTACGCATAGGTGCAGTGAAACATGTCCCATGGTGGCTGTATTTTTTCTAAAATGTGTTGTAACCTCCTCGTTCTAAGTTATCCAGCGTGTATATACGAAAAGTATGCTAGGGTAATAACACTACGAATACAAACAGATCGCTTTGAAATAATGAAAGCATAGAAATTGTATTTGTTATTAAAAACTTATAATACTTGTATGGGCATAAGTTATTACTGTTGTTCTCTGCGACAAATAAGAAATCAACATTGAATAGTGTTTTGCGTATAGGAATGAAATTAGTCGTCGAGCGTGATTGCTAAGAATGGATATTTGCTATTTGCTAGTGTAGTGCAAACAAAACATGAACTGAGAAGAAAACAACGACACAAGTACTGTCTATGAATTTAATGTTTAATGAAAAATGTCACATATAACTACGGGTAGGAAGAAGATTAACGAAGCAGCATACGCTCCAAACATAACGAACAGAAAAAAGGCTCATGAGTACACTAACGCAACTGCGCACCTTCCACGAAAGCCACTTCCTCTACAATTAAAGCGATAGAAGGGCAGCTCATGCACCTGTCTCTTCTTTTCATCATTTCAAAAACCTCCACAATATCACTAGTACGCTGGCTCTTGTACTTAGACACTTAAAGTGATAGAGGGGCAGCTCACGTACTATCATCAGAAAGATATCACGGAACGCGAGATGTTCGATAAAGCGGAATTCCTGCTTTGTAGAAGAATTTAATTTCAAAATAAATGTTCCATATTGCACTTGGCATTCCGACTTATACAGTGACGAGTTTGATTACAAGCATTAAGCATTGATACAGCGGAAATTCGCATTTGTTGGGATCCAATGTCTAGCAACCTTTTGTTGTTGATAGTACGTGTCTATCTCGTCTCCTTAATTTCCCGAGCGTACTCAGAAAAACGCGAACACGTTTGAAATTATAAAAAAAAAGAGAAGCGCATGAGATGATCTTCTATTGCTTTAATTGAAGAGGAAGTGGCTTTCCTGAGAGCTGCGCAGTTGCGTTAGCATACGCATGAGTTTTTGCTCTGTTGGTCATCTTTGGTGCGTGTTCCGCTTCGTTAATCTTGTTGTGGCTGTATTTGCCACGGAGAGTAAAATGTTTGAGGCCCCTGTACTTGGATATAGGCGCAGGTTAAAGGGCGCCAGGTAGTCAGAATTTCCGAAACACTCCACTACGACATCTCTAACAATAATTATTTCGGGGTTTTGGGGCCTTAAACCCCAGATATCATCGTCTTTATGTTTTCGTAATCTTCCCCCACCCATATTTATCTGTATTATTTTTTTCATTAAACATTCACATGATAGACAGCCCTTGCGTCGTCGTTTTCTTCTACGTCCGTGTTTCGATCACGCTGGCCTTCATTAACGTTTTTTAACTGACCCAGCTCGCTGCTCTCTCACTATTTTCGTGTCTGTATATGTTGGTACATCTTCATGAACTTTGCCTTTAGGTCGCTTCAGACATCGTGACACAGCCAACTGTGGTAAGTAGTAAGGATGTGTATGCTTACGTTGTGCTGAGAAGCTCTTTGACTAGTTTTTCTTTATCCTTAAAACAACCTAAAGAAGTCATATTGGACAGGACGTCCGGGTCGATGTCGTCCACGCAAGGAATGATGTGCGTCTGCAAGAAAAAAGCAAATTTTGTGAGGCCTCAGCTGTACAGTGTGTGCTCGAACACTTTTGTAGCGTCCTAGAATTGTGAACTAACCTAACAAAAGCAGTATGACGCTGCTATGTACTTAAAAAAAAAACTTGATGATTGTAACCTGCGATGCCAAAATGAGCCTAATGGCCAAAATAGTACGTCATTCATTTTTGTCCGTGATATACGTTTAGTAACGTGGGCTGATTCTTTGTTTTATGCAACGACTGTGTGAGTCCAGCGGGAGCTGTAGCTGTAACCGACTGCATCAGCAAAATATGTAGTTGTGAAATACCAAGTCTAGCAAGAGTTTCACGTTGTTGCTTCGTTACAATTTCATATTGAAGAAAGGCACTTTGCATATGTCATACCTGCGCCCTGAAAAGGTTTGTTAGATACATAATTTCCTGAACACCGACAATGGTGTGTTAAACAATGCGGCGCAAATGAGCAAAATATACACTTGACACAAAAAGCAAGACATGTCCAGATTGGTCCGTTAGAGCTTTTTATCAAGGTGAGCATTCTTTTGTCAACAGTAAACAAGAATCGTAGCCATAGCATAATTTTACCAACGAATCGACTTTCACTTCTGTGCGTTATACTCTAAAAGCAGTTGCAAGCACGTCTTTCAGGCGTTCCTAATTGCAACTGCGACACACTGGTAATCGTGAGGCTACCACGACGGCTCATTGTCGTGTAGACAACATGGTATGAATAGCCCCTATAGCTGAAAACATTGTCATATTGCAGCTAATGTAAAATATACAGACATTTCTGAAAGGGTCAGTAATACCACAGCTTTGCAGGCGTTAAGGGCCGCAGCCACTTTCGTCCTCCTTACCATCAACGATGGTAGCGTAACCGCCGCAAAGAGTGTGTGACACAAGAATTGAGCAAGCGCCGCTACCGTGTTCAGCCAATGCTAGTGCCAAACAAAAAACGAAGTACGTGCCCTATGAATTGGGCAAGCAAAGAAGGCTGGTATACGTACCACCAACTCGAGCTACAGACGTCAACAGGCTTTGCCACACAAATGTAGCCAACGATTTTAGATTGTACCACGGGAAACCCAATGCGGACAGAACGCCAGCTGATGATGTTCGTCGGCTACAGTTTCACAAACTTGAAACAGACACTGCTAAGCGCTACACCATGATTGAGCAGCCACACTTTTTATCAGTCTCCATGGTCAATGTTAGCTCACTTGCCATACAGGCTGTGGACATTCATCATGATTCCATTATACAGCATGCCTCTATTTTTCCTTGCCGTAGTCCTAGACTACAAGTACCATTGTGGCGCTCGCAGAGACCATAACAGAGTGGCGGGAGCGGCTACATACTTGTGTACAGGTAGGTATGTCTGCCGTAGCCATCGAAGTATTTGGTACGTCAGGTGAAGTTGGTGAATTGTGTGCCGCAAAGTTGAACAACGGCTCACTGCTAGTGGCTGTGTACTACTCATCCATCATGCTTATATTGGACTTCGTGTACTTCTTGCGCCTCACATTAACCGCACATAGACCCTCACTAATGTTTGTCGTGGGTAACTTTATATAGATCTAAAAAACAGACGGCATCTTCCGACCCCTTATGAGCGAGAACATTCCGTTCCTCTCCGTCATAACTCATGCCTAACTAATGTGCCGAACATTAACTCATTGAAAATTTCTTCCTTGCAGAAAGAGCAGACATCCTGATGAGAACTTTATACAAGACAGCTAGTGTGGGTTACGGCATTCATACAAGTGGAAAGCTTCCGAAATATGCGCAGAATTTCCAACAGTGAAACAAGAAATTTGTACACCAAAAAAGTGCTTTCACTCTTCTGTGACTGACCACGTCTACTACTTTCTTGAAAGACACACGGAGATTCTCTTTAGAGACAGTAACACTCTCTTTCGAGACAGTAACACTCTCGTTCGAGACTAGTGAGACCCAAAATATAGTTAACATGATTTTAAAGGAAGTCGTATGCGTAACAAGCATTCACCGATTAAGTGTAAGAGTTACCCTTTTAGAGTGTACTGTAAGGTGACATGACTTATGAGTTGGTACTTTAACATCTCTCGCGAATTTCGAAACTTATTTAGGCACATCTCTTCGACACACTAATCCTTCGAAATCCTTACCTTGGTTTCTCAGCACGAAGAATAAAATACAATACCATCTGAACGGCCGTAATTAACCTCTACTCTAACAAATTGGCAGAGATGAATCTGAAGGGTTCACATGTTCATACCTTCAGCACTTTCTACAGCACCTGTGAAATAAATATGAATTGTGAATAAGTTCAGTGGAAACGAGAAATGTGGCGGAAGGGTTACAGGGGCCCTGCAACACTTTTTGAGCATGGTCAGAAAACGCTGCCGATCGGTAGTAGAGGCTCCCGACAATACGCGAGCCTAATATTATAGCGCAGAATGCGATCTGGAATCCACAATAAATTATCAAAGTCAGCTAAAACTTGCTTTTTCTTCTCTCGACAAATCACGGAATAAGTCCAAAATTCACTCGCAGTAAGCCCATCTATCAGCCGTTGGCTGATTTGAACATGGCGCGCTCGGTCGTTACAGATATCACCGCGGGAGGCCGCTACTTCTCCACGCGTGCCCACGCGATCACACTGAGAAAGGCGCGCATTCGAAGAAAAAAAAAAAGGAAAAAAAAGCGATCAAGGTCCAAGGCACGCGTGACGTTTCTCTGTGGCTATGCCATCCCTCCCTGCTTATTTTCCAGCGCTTACCGGGCCTCGCTCGGAACACTGTTTCTGAATAACCGTTTATTTCTCACTCTCTTTCGTCGGGATGAGAGAAAAAAAAATGCAATGACAGCATGCGACAAACCTTTGTAACTCCGCTCGCACTGGACGGATTCTTAAAACTTTTTCGGCGTTGAATTTGTGAGAAAATAAGCTCTTCTAATATATTCATTTCATGGTTACTTTAAAAAGTGTTTCAGGGCCCCATTTAGATAGGAAAAGACAACAACGACCCGTTTGCAGCACGAAGCCACAAGAAAATCTGTGTGGATTTCTCAGAAACAAAAGCTCCTCAGTTGCCCAAAAATCCGTCCTGGTCTAAGGTTAGAACCCGGGACCAACGCCTTTCCGGGGTCGTCGCTCTACCTATTGAGCTAACCAGGAAGCTAGCAATTGACAGCGCGAAGGCGAATTCATCGACAACTTTTCTTCAATACTTCACTTTTTATCGACAGCTTTTCGATGAAACTTCAACAACTTCGACAACTTTTCATCTACAGCTTTTGTTTCTGAGAAATCCGTACGGATTCCCTTGTGGCTTCGGGCTACAAACGGGTAGTTGTCTTCTTTTCCTTTCTTAACGCTTACGCCACCTGGCTGGTTTCTGCAGAACTCATTCGCAATACTTGTGCCCATGTGCTTCATGTTGTCTATGAATTCGCCCTCGCGCTGTCAATTGCTAGCTTCCTGGTTCACTCGATTGGCAGAGCAATCGCCCCGCAAAGGCATTGGTCTCGGGTTCAAACCTCGGACCAGAACAAATTTTTTGGCAACTAAGAAGCTTTTCTTTCTGATAAATCCGTACTGAACGGGTTTTATTGTGACTCCGTGCTATGAACGGGTGGTGGTCTTTTTCCTTATCTTAATGAATATGAATGTGCCTGGTATGGCAGTCCCATTTTATTGAGATGAGAGAAGCTGTTCTGTGAAGCAAGAACATGGCGTCAAAGTTTTGTTTCAATAACCACTTTTGTACTGTTATTGTTGTTGGAATCATTTACAATTGCAAATAAATCAATAAGCAGATATGTCTGGCTTATTAATGTATACAACCCATTGCCGTAGCATCATTAAAAAGGTAATCGGCCACGTATTCTAAATTTCCATGTTTATGAATACTTGCTAGCTTTCTGCTTACGTGCACAGAAGCAAATCTGTCCAGCTGTTCATTCAATAAAGCTGAAGAAGCTATAAGTCAATTTACCTGTACAACTTCCTTCATGGGCAGCTCCAACTCTAATTCTGTCTTGCTTCCTCTGAAAAGTAAAAAACTTGCGTTAGGTTTTCAGCACTGATACCACGACAGCAGTCAAATCGTTAGCTATGGCAAATGTCCACACATGATGTGTCAAATCCTGGGTCAATGTAATCCTAAGAATAGTAACTATACCTGATTACGCTGGCATATTTTTATCTCGCTCACTTAACTGGCTGGTTTTGGTGTGTTCAATGAATTTGCACGCCATTCTATTGGCTGTTAACACAACAGACCAACACTCCTCTAACTACATAGTAACGGTGAGCAGTATATATTCACTTCAAATTGAATATGTAATTATTGTACAGATTAGACACATTTTCTTAATATGTTGCAAATGGTAAAACGTTTTGCTAGTGAAAGAATAACAAATTTTTCGCTCACATTAAACCAATTACACTTAATGTTTTATGTTCAATGAATATTTTCTCACAGTACGCCTTTGGTAACGCCAATGTTTCGTGAATGTGTAAAGGTAGAGAGGTATGTTGAGTTTTGTGTTTGCTGCTTGTGCAAATACTTACGCGGTCACCCAAGGATGCTTTGTCACATCCGCTAGCTGCGTCCGGAGGATAGCATCAAAGAAGAAAAAAAGCATAACCGTTAGCTTTCATAACGCGTATTCTAATGAATGCCTACTAAGATATTCACGTATATAATTAAATCATTACACACGTTTTTAACACAACTGTAATCAATTCACTTATTTTTTTTACCAGTCAAGTTCTGCAACGCTTGCACAGGTTTGCTATTTACGTACACTTTTCATGTCAAGTGAATTTCAGGCCTTTGGTCTATGTAATCATCTGTGTTTCAGAATGGAGAAGCTTTCATTATGTTATAATGTTATAATAATGTTAATGTTATTATGTTATAATAAAACACTTTTTCTTTCTTCCTTTCTTTCTTTATTTCTTTCTTTCATCCTTTCTTTCCTTCTTTCTTTCTTTCTTTCTTTCTTTCTTTCTTTGAACACTTTTCTCCCGTTTTGCATTCACAGTGCGGGGCAGTAAATTGACGTTAGCCTGGTTATCATTTTTGCTTTCTTTAACAAATCATTATCCATACCTGGCTAGTATTATGCCGTCCTTAACGAGTGCCAAGTAGTTTGAGTGTGTATTTTGCGAACTCCGGCGTGATTGTGGCTCTTTTAGTATGTGTCACGTTTAAATTAAACGCATCTTACAACGAAGACCATTTACTGTTCTTAATATTAACCGCTGCAGACAATGCTGCACAGTTCGAACACTGTTGCTTTGATCTCCTGTATAAAATAATAAACTAGTATTTCTGCATATCTTTTGCGCGTTCATTACACTGATATTTCCGAGTAACGCGAAGAAAGAAAAAAGAACGAAGTTAGCTGTCTGAATTTTGTGTTCTACTTGGTTTGATTACTGTTCGCAGTTTGCGCGCCAAATCTTTCGTTAAGCTGTTTACAGTGTTTGTGTCTGTTAGCTTAGTATCCCCCCAGTGTCAACCATATACCACGCGTGTATTGGAAGAATTTACGCTGTAAAAGAAGTACGTGAATATTTTGCACGTCTTCTGCATCGCGATTCTCGAACACACTTCTTTCACGTCGCGGGATATGCTTACTGTACTAATCAGCACAGAAAATGCCACCATTGCTTCTTTTTATTTGGTAGTTCTGTGTAACACATGTCATTTCGAGTTATTGCGTAACGAAAAGCGACGGAAAAAGAGTGCCAAGACAAAGCGGCGCCTGCGTTAAAAATTGTTTCACGGTTGCCCGAAAAATGTGCATGCAGCGTTTATGCTAAGTATGCAAACTTCTTTTTTTGTTGTTCATGACAGTTATATATGGAAGTCATAATCAAGCTAACAATCCCCTGCAATGCTTGCTATGTTTTTTTCCCATCACAAACACGGACCCCACTGTGGTGCAACCAACTGTTTCCTAACTTACATGCCGAAGGAAATGAGAAAACTTGTAGGTGCTCTAACCGGGAATCCCAACCGCGTAGCACTGAAGCTTACACGCGCAAAAAAGTGAGAGACAACTAAACAAGGAGTGCGAATGATCTCTATAACGAATGAGCGAGCCTCGAAATTAGGGCCTGCGGGCGAGGCGACATGACCATAGTTTCGTGAACAATGAGTACGTCACTAGCAGATGGCCGGTGTCTCACTTCAGTAAAAAGAGCGATGTCGCCTAACTCGGCGTCCCAGAGGCCGACAAAATGCTTCTTCCACTACCAAGCACGCAGGCTTTAGATGAAGCCTTTCACGTCACCACATTACGACACCTTATTTCTGCTTCCCCTTTTATTTTTAACCTTCAACTTTCCATCCTTTCCTCCCTCTCTCCCATTATTACATTCACTCCCTCTCTCTCACAAACACGCTGTTACGCAAGCACCACTGACACGTCTAGATAGTCGGTGCTTCAGGCCTCTACATACCTTCGACTTCCAATTTCTCGTTTTCTTTCATCGTGTGCTGCTCTCATTAAGGCCCCTTTCTCTGACTGCTCTATCTTCCTTTCGTCATTTACGGCTCTTATTGCGACCGGCTTCTCTCATTGTCAGCCCACTCTCTCGAATTTCGCTATCTCGCCCTCTCCGCGTCTCTAATTTGCTCCTCTCTCGGCATGTGGCGTTGAAGAAGTGTCAAAGGATGGCGCCACCATACCGGCGCCTCGATGGCGCCATCGTCGGATCGATACCGATGCCGCAGCTTCGCAAGCTCGCCGTTCTAACTCGGGGAGCGGAAGTTGGGGCGCTTTCCCGTCGCGTATCGGGGTAGCAGCGCGGTCGCCTCATCCTCCTCGCCTCCGCCCTCAAGGGCGGAACCGCGGCGCTCCCATAAAAAGACTCCGGATCGGACCGGCCGAGACGAGTTTCGAACAATTCTCCGGCCGTCTTTCTCTCATTTGATCTTTCGAGTCCGCTATTTAAAGGTTAGGGGTGAGGATCGGAGCACCGGGATTAACGAGGAACTACTGCGTCGTTCAGATGCGGCGTTTCCCATACAGTTGCTGCAGCGGGATCACCTTAGATCGGATTTCCAACAGTATCGGGACAGCGCAGTTAAATACTCTGGCTGGCGTCTGACACAGCTCAGCCAATATCCAAACGCGTGAACCGTCGACGCGCTGGAGAATCGAAATATAAAACAACGCTCAAGCTCCATTACAACTTATAATAGATTGCTGACAATCGTTAGACAATCCGCTGCAATTAGTTTCAGAGAGCGAATGAGCGAGGAAACTAGAAAGTATCAGGCTTGAAAGTATTAGTTGTTCTACAAACGAAGCTCTATTTAGAAGGAAGGCACGCGCAGTAGCTTTGGTTGAACGGACAGAAAAGCGTCTCTCGAGCACGATTCTATACATTGCGCACATATTACGCAAGGAAGTACGCTCGAGGTATAGCCAAAACTGTCTTTTCCCCCCTCTTTCTATCTCATTAGATGCGGGTATTGCAAATCTCTGGTCGCTTGAATGCGCGATTAGATTAATTCTGACCTCAAGTCACTAAAGTTAGAAGCTCTACATTGACTTCACTTTATTCGGTTGATTAAACCACTTAAGTGATCGTCATACGTCGGGCCGCTTCCTTATTTTAAACCACACTATTTAGCGAAGAAAGCTAAACTGTACCCGCCCGTACCTCTGAACAGTAATGAAACGCAATAACGGCAACCATATTTAGTTCTTTGCCCGAACATAGGTTGTTGTTTGATTGTTTTTTTCACAATAAATATGTTAGTGGGGTGAAGCCTCCCTACATTCACGTAATTTTAGCGGTGGTCATGGCTGGCTGGCTGGCAGGCTGGCTGGGTGTGTGTGGGGTGGGGGGGGGGGGGGTGGGGGGGGGGGGGGGGGGGTACGTTGTGTACGCCACAAGTTCTTGTCCCAGTTGGTTACAGGAACATGATAAGGATAAACACGGTTGGGATACAACTAAGCGGCATGCCAAGCTTTCTTCATTTTCATAAAAATGAGAACAAATTTACACTCTGTCTATACTCTCGTGCCCATAATTTAGTTGTCTTCAATATATCAATGTCTTTTGCGACAACAAGAAAGCCTCATCATCGTCACTTAGTGTGTAATGGACACGCCTGTTAATAAGTTATAACTGTTTATAGGTCATAACATAGACCAGAGTCATATGTAAGTATGTGCTATAGTGTTTAAAAGAACTAAACTCTTATTTCTTAGTATCCATAAAAAGTATACAAATGTACGTTAACACGAAGAGGCTTTTTTTTTCTACTTTCAATAAATGGCAGTTCAAAAGATTGTCTCATCTTTCTTCTCTCGGTTTATTTGCACTCTCTACAAGTGTTTGCTATTACAAGCTTTATCACACGTTCAGATCATCCAATTATTAACATCAGGATATTTTGCCTCTAGTTTGTTCATTTATTTCATACCTCTTACGCTGCTCTTATAGTGGAAGTACTAAAACATCCCACATTCTGCTAATCGTGATGAACATTCACGAGCTTTTTTGTTTTTGTTTTTTGTTTTTAATACACTCGCACCGATTGAAGTTAAACTAAAGAGACAAAGCTTCGATACCAACCACAATATAATATAGCTAGAGTTAACTATTCGAAAGCATTGTCTATTAAGCCGGACATCGTAGCTATATGCGAAAAAATGTGGGATAAGTTATGGAATCGATTGCCCATAGAGGTCCACCTGTGAAAATAAGCAGTGCTTCTGTTTAGTCTGGCCTCCACCCCCTTTTTCTTCTTTGGGGAAATATTTATCGACGCCCCTGGAATATGTGCAGCAGGTCTTGCTATTCTTTATTATGCGTCTGAGCACACGGAGACTATGAAAACATAGGCTTCGCATCCATATTATGGCAGGGCAAACGAAACAAGCAACTCATGAACGCCCCTTCAGAAAGCGATGACCTGCGATGGCAAAAGCTTCACGGCTCTTTGTTATGTTTGTCAGCGCGGATTTGATACGAGACACCTCTCGCGTATCGATGACGTCCAATTTGGTGAAACCGAAGTCGAGAAATAGCTCTTTGCCAGTAGGTAGACTCGCGCGTAATGATGGGTTCGCTGCTTGTTGCTAAGGGCAACCTTTTCCTAAACTTCATATTTTTCTTAACTAAGCTCTTTTTTATTTTCGTAGTGTGTGTGTTCACGTATTTTTCGGTCTCCGGTGGAAAAATTTAAGTCATATGACACGCCGAGTTTCTTAAACAGCAAAAGCCACGTTAGTGTGAGCAGGGAGAAGTTCTAATACCATTTCCGAGTGCCAGAAATTCGATCCACGGCGCACCCGGCCATGCCAAGAGAGCCGTAGCATATACAAGAACGCAGCGCCCGTAAGAGGTATACTCTCAGTTTCTCAATATATAGCAGGTTCCTTTACGGCGCATTCATTTCTTGCTTGTGATTTAGAAGCTTACTCGCTTATTTGTTTCCTTTCTTTATTTGCTCACGTGATAGTTCTCTAGAGCTACAACTTATTCACCTTGCTTGCCGTTATTTTTGAGAATAGGCAAAACAATGAGAAAATGACAGATATCGAAAAAGAAAGCAAAGTAGCGAAAATACGATGGCCCATCAAACTAACACCAATTATTCTGAAGTATAGATAATGCAGGTGATGTGCGCGCTGGGTTTCCATGGTGCTCTATAGTAAAGTATTCTGCACCCTGCGCGTAAGCAACCCAGCATATTTTTTGTGTACAATAATAGTGGGTGGAACAGCTATATCATACTAGATTTGACTTCAACCAGGCTTCGAATGAGTTCAACATTGTGCTCGGAAGGAAGAAGCGCTTGGAAACTGTTTCTCCGTGGTTTGGCTAATTTTCAACAGTACCTGTTATACTACCTTATGTTTAGTTCATACACTGTACTGTGACACAATGCATAGGGAAACAAGAACAAGTCTCATGGAGTTGACGAACGATAGATTGCAAAAAGTTACAGTTATAATGAAAGGTAATTGAGCTATAATATTAACTCCCTGTGAAGGCCTATTCTGGAAACGACCATCAAGCATTGTTTCCGAGCGATTATTGTATTTTTATTTGTTCGGAGTAACCACAGCGGCCTGTCATAACCATATATGCAGTGAGTTTTAAGAATATATATAACGAAGACTGTCAAGTGTGAGATTTATCTACGATAGGCGCGTATATTACAGTCCAGTAGATTGGTTGATTGGATGTCTCTGAAAACCACGATGGCGCTTAACGCAGTGCAGCAAAATGGCACTTGATCATAGCCAAATATGCACTATTAAAAGGTTTCTTACTTTCATGGAAAGTACAAGCTGTTCCAGGCAGTTGTGGAGGTAAAACTAGCGCATTATGCAGGGTGTCGATGGTGCATTAAATGACGTACAGTGCGAAGAAGAAAAAAAAAGAAAGAAACTTGCTTTCCACATAACTGTATACGACATATCGCGGCTGAGATATCGAGGGTTTGAAAATATTTACCGTACTAGAAGACATACTGAACAAAGATTTTGTATGGGTGCGTCAAGTGACCTTGATGCTATACACACCGCATGTATCCACTAGCAAGACTCTCAACAGAGCACCTTATCTTTCTTTATCACTTGAATAAAACACATTGGAGCGTAGAGTTAGTTCTTCTCTCACTTCGTCACTGTGCGTTTGCGTATACATCGAGGCTGTGTATGTAACTCACTAGTTTTTGTGGGGTAAATTATTATTTTATTGTGGTATGAGATCACACCGAAGCGGCTGCGAGGTACTTCCTGTCGGTCCCTACGTGGGAGACGCCCGCTACGCGCTAAGCGCGTCCTGCAGTACCAAAATAAAGGTTTTTTCGTTCCATTCCATCCCATTACAGGCGACTTCGGTGCCGTAGTTGTCCACCACCACCACCTGTGTTCATACCATTCATCGCGTGAAGTAAAAAAAAATAATAATATTCACGATGACATGCAATTTCAACCCCGGCCCTCTGCGTCAGTAATTGGCTAAAAGACCTTATAGAGGAGTCATGCCGAACGCTGAATGACGTTAAGATACTTATTATAGCATGGTAGTTGAATTAAATTGCAACCATGTGTCACACAACGCGAATAGATCAATGGTTGCATGGTTTAACGGTTTCAGCCCACTACAAAGGGCTCAGCCATAATCCTTCACCGTGATCATGCACAGCATCAACGAATAGCACATAATCCCTTACACATATTTAGCGGGTACCTCGCCTCCACGCAGAATGACGGATATTGTTACAATGGACACTTCCGTACTTCAAAAAGTTGTCGATGATTAGTGTTGTAGCTGATACCCGGAAAGTGTGCTTGTATTATTTTCCCCGAGAGAGTTTACGATGGACTCTAAAAAGACCACTCATCCTGATTTCGCTGTGACTGTGTGTCATGCGCAAGCCTGGCGTTTGGTGGTGTTATTTTATTTCACGAAGCCGTTATCTTTCTGCGTTAAGTGTGTTTGCTTATATTCTTACATCTGCACGACCAAGACTAGCAGTCTCCTTTATCCTGTGACTTAATCATTTTATATTCTCTTTTAATAAAAAAAAACAGGCAAGTGTTGAAATCATGTCACTGCATCTGTAAAGATTCCTTGTTCGACTAATACGGATGCCTTCTAGCTTACACGATGCTCTAATTTTGTCTGTTGTTTACATCAACTTTACGCAACACGGGCATTGCCAATAAGTCCAAAACCTACATAGAATTTTATGTTGATTCTGTTGCGTTTACGCTCAATGTTTCTTACTTTATACATATTTTGATATGCCATAGAGTATTGACATGTAAATTTCTTTTTTCCTTCTTCATTTGAATCGATGCGGGTACATTGGTTTACACAATATCACTTTGCTAATATCTATGCGCACAAGGGAAAAAACGAAACAAACGTTTCAGTGACCTCCTCGGCACTGCTCCCAAAACATCTACCACTTACGTCAACTGTGGTGAAAAGCCCATCAAGTAACGGATAGAACAACCCTTATCAAAAAAAAAATAAAATAGAGCGTGTGTCTCACAAGAATGACACGGCTAGCTACCATGCAAAATAAAACACGAAAAAGTAACATTTTGCAACTTCCCTTTATGAATTTCAGCTCATTAGTACCTGAGAAGCATATTCAGTTGTACTTGTTAATTATTCAGCATAAAGACAACAGTGCCGAGAAAGGACAAAGATGAAGGGACGACACATATAAGACAAAAAGCGTTGTGTTTTACCTCCAACAAAACATGACTGAGCGCGTCTTCTCTGCGTTTTGCTGTCTTATATTCATCTCCATTGGTTGCCTCAGCTCCTTCTTGTGTTATATGTATTGCTTATTCAGTTAAACAAAACTTCCTGATAATTTTTGATAATGCTCAATGAAGCGCTTCGTAATCGTGCCTGACCGTGGACGTGCAACATTCCGTTCAACGCTCATCCCCCAACCTCTATTATAAAATATGAATGTCTGTCCACTTAGAAAGATATGGGCACTGGTAAAAAAAAAACTATGTACATGTGTGACGTTAGTGTGAGTGTATAACATGTCATGATTCCATGCAGGGCGTCAGTCCGGACCACCTCCTCGTAGCACTCACCGTAAGCCTCTTCTCGGGGTTCACCTCGATCATTCCCCGCAGCAGGTCTTGGCACTCTGGCGGAACAAAGTGCGGAATGTGGAACACGCCACGCTTCACCTTCTCCAGCAGCTGGCGCAAATTGTCGTCGTCAAATGGTAAGGCACCCTGCGTACACCACCGAAATTAGGCATCAAACACACGCTCTCTGCGACGCGTCTTTTCTGGACTATACACATGTCCCGAAGCTTGCTTGGATTATAATTTTCATGGTTTTGTGTAAAAAAAAATAGGTTAATCACCGCTGCTAATAAGTATTCAACAGATCTGAGTGCCCTGAGCACTTCTTTGCATGCGCTGCGTTTGCGGCAGATTCAGCAATTATGTGAACACTCTAAAAAAAAAGCTAAACTAACTCTAAAGCAGAAGGCGATTTTATCGTATTATTAAAGTACAATTTCACAATCCAGAAACCACCACTCTTACCGCGACATGACCCTTGGTAACGGAGAAAACAAGCGAAAAGAAAATGCGGGCGGAGAAGTCATCTTGAGCTTTGCGCATAAAACACAGGGAACGTAAATGAATTTCAAGGCGTCTGCTGGGTTCTACAAAGCTAGTTAGCAAAAAAAAAAAAAGAAGGACATTACCATTTGCAACTAGTTTGAACGTAGCATACTAAATGTTAAAAAATTTCACCGAGGCAATCGCAGGAAATTTCGAAAAATACATTTTGAAATTTCTGACGTCACGCGCGGCGATTTTGGTGCGAAATTTAAAAATGAAACTTTAACGTTGATTTTCTCCGCCAATGATGAACTTATCAAGGTGATAACATGTGGCATTAGAGTTCTCAGAGTGAAGTTTACGAATCTAAACCAATTCATTGCTACTCTTTAGTGTCCTTTTAAACATCTCGGTAAACCCTGACTTGTGACGCGTATGACTCTCCTTAAAGAGACGCGTTTACTTTCTTCGCGTCCACGACTCTCCCTCGAAAGTATAATGACCTTCTGAAAAAGTGCACGTGTCTCTTCAAAGAGAGTCATACACGTGGAAAGTCAGGACTCACACACAAAAAAAAAGAGTCGAACGGCTCTTTTACAGATGACTCTTTTTTTCTTGGAGTGCAGAGCACTTCCAAACGCCGTAGCCCACTGTTTTGCGTTTAGAGCAGTTCTATCTATCTTCTCGACAAGAAAGTAAGAATTAAAAGCCCTTCTTCTGGTAGTTCTCTTTTTTCACTTTTCTCCTGGTAAGACAAATATTTTACGTTAGTCGGTGAGCGAGAAATGCCTATTCAATCATTTTAGTTACTCACCACAAGTAAAGCATAAAGAATAACCCCGCAACTCCACACGTCCGCTCTCCGGCCGTCGTATTTTTCACCCTGGAGATGAAGTATGAAAACACTAATGAGAACGTCATACAAACGACAATGACTACTAAAAGGTTGTTTAGTGGCAATTACATATTGTGCTCTCCAACTTTTTTCCTTGTCTCCGCTTATTCATACAATCAGTAGGATAGAAACGTTAAAAATTCTTGCTCATCTGAAATATAATTAAAGGAACCCCAGTGTAATAAGTGATAACATATAACTTATACTGGGCGTGATGCAGAGAACCACTGAAACGTGATGTAGTGGACCACTGAAATTTAGGCGTAGCCTTTAGCTTCAGCGATTTAACAAGTGAGAAAAACTTCAGAGATTTTCAGCTATATGTGATTTCGTAATTTTTTATTAATACTTTTTTTGCTGAACGGCTATGCCCGTTCCCTGAAGGTGAGAAGAGAAAAGCACATCTAAATAATAAGAAAAAAAAGCAGTTAGCGACACCTTAATGCATCATATCTTGGAAAGCTAAATTTATATACAGTCATTAGATTATTTAATTTGTTCAACTGAAAATTAATGCCGTAATAAATCGATGTAACAGAGCATCTGGGTTGAAGAACCAAGTACATAGTTAAAAGATTATTACGTGTACATGATTACGCCCATAAGATGTTTTATTAACTAGCCTTTGCAAAGAGGGTTAGAAATTGATAACATGGAATTGATATAACTCATATAAGTTCTGTGGTAGTGATGTTCCCTTCGTTAGTAGTCACACTGGATCAGAGACTCGCCGAGATGTCATTTGCATGTGTCTCGTTCATTTTATCGGTGAGTTCATACTTCTACGAAGATAGCTCTCGGAATAGCTTCAAAATAGAAAACGTAGTACAGTGTCACGAATTAAGGTTTATGTAATTTTCACGCTAAAAGACGGGCTTATTATTGCTCAATAACTTCATGTTGTGACCACGTGAACAGCTGGTATACACGTGTACAATGCGTTTGCGAAACCAGCTGCGGTGACCTACCCGTATGACTTCTGGACAGGCGTAGTGAGGTGACCCGCAGGACGTCTCCAGCATGGACCCTTCCATTTGTAGCGAAGCCATGCCGAAATCCGCTATCCTAATGTTGTTTTTCTCGTCCAGTAATAAATTCTCCGGCTTGAGGTCTCTGTGACTGAAGTAAAAAAAGAATGTATTAGAGACAGGAGATTCAGACGATGCTCTGGTGAAGCACCGATTCGCATTTTTACTATCAGTCGACCAGCTTTGGATGTTTCGACACTTGATTCAATGCGAATTAGGCATTTTGCATATACGCAAATCAATTTAGGTGCCTTAGATTGCGGCACTCAACACAGACAGTTTGGGCAAGTACTGAGTTTACGCTTTGCAAAAATTTATTTTTTTGTGAACATTTATGTTGCGAGTACTCCACATGCTAGCACGTTCTTGCTGCTTGCAAACTTCTATAGCGTCTTTCGTATTAACGCCATGCTTTTAGGACAATAAATCTTAATAATTATACTACTATAAAATTTCTATTGTGTACTGAGACATTAATTATGTGTGTGTTCATTTCGTTCCTTTCTTAATTGCTGTGTTTGCTAACAACGTTATCACAAGATAGTCACGTAAGATAAGCAGCCGACGCCATTCAAAGTCTGTCTCTTCTTAAATGCATTTACAACACAAAGTGAAGTACTGCCTTCTGATATCGGAAGAAATGGTTAACTTGTATTAGTTCACTGTTGCATATTTGTCTCCACAAATATTATCTGATACGGTGTCGTCGATGTATATAACAAAAGGATCCCAGTTCGCTGAACGAAGAAAAAAAGTCGATGTATATAATCAGGATTAATGAGTTATAAAATAATAATAATAATAATAATATTAATAATAATAATAATAATAATAATAATAATAATAATAATAATAATAATACCGCCTACTACCTTACGAGGTCCCAGAGCTTTTCAATGCCCTTTATTGTGCCCTATAGTTGCTCGTGCTGTAATCAAAATTTATGTACTAGCGCGCGTGTTCGTGTTTTAAAGCACACCTTCAGACAACCAACCTTCTACAATTTGAAAAGATAATGATACAAGCTGACGTGGTGCGTTTGCGCTGATGAAATATTTTCAACACTCAAGTCAATGTTCGTACTTGAAACAGTAGGCGAAGTACTTGGCATATTTTGCGCAAGCTGAAGAGCAAAGTGATTTTTTTTTGCCAACATTGTTTCTCCTTGTTTGTTTTTTCTGTAAGTAAAGAAATAATTGCTGCTCTGCAAGGACAATTGTTCCTGTTGATAACGTTGGCACCAGTGACACTCTCTGTTCAATGATTTATTAATCGCTGAACACCCTGAACATTTGCCATGTTTCAAAGAGTCGTATGGCAATTCATCCTATCTATGTTTATCCTAACTAAATACACCTATTGTTTTTCTGATAAGTGCCTGACTTCCAGCTGATACTGCAAAAAAAGAAAGAAAGAAAGAAAGAAACAAACAAACAAAGAAAGAAAGAAAGAAAGAAAAGAAGAAAGAAAGAAAGAAAGAAAGACAAGAAGCAACGACACAGGGGGGAAAAACTAAGAAAAAGAAGGACGCCAAGCTCCCATAGCTCTAAAAATTATCCGTAAAATTTGAAAGTGCATACAATACGTCTCTTGTGTTTTTGTTGTTCGTTTTATTTAATATCTTACATCTGCTTCAAACTTCCGCAGAGCATTGCAATAAATCGATCCATTTTTGATATTCATCTTTCTGCGTTGAATAACCAGAAAGTGCTTTCCCACAGACATTATGTCGGCCACCTTCTGTTGGTCATAAACATTACTTACCATATCGAATGGCTGTGGCAGAAATCTAGTGCGGAGATTATTTGCCGAAAAAACCTCCGTGCTTCTTTCGGCGTCAGGCGACCCTTCTTGACCAGGTAATCAAATAGTTCCCCACCGGAGACGTGCTCCAGTATGAGGTACCTAGAAGAGCACCAAATCGAAAATAAATAAGAGAAACGCACAGGCTTTGCTTGCTATCCCAGGTGGCAAAGTGTTTTGGCGAAGGCTGCCAAAATGACTGTAGCCACCTTTGTTTCTTCAAAAACTGAACCCTGGACGCCCGCTTCGTATATTTGTCCTAATATGCATATATGTATTCCAGTGCCAACTCTACTAGTGCGAGTACTGACAACGCTTTCTATGCGAACTAAAGCGTAACATGTAACAGCGAACTGCGAGAAAAGGCACGAAGACTTGTACGCTTGAACGGAAGTGACGTTCTCCTTTATAACATTTAACCTCGCTTTACGATGGGTAGGGGTTGTGTGGGAACGCACGAAAAGAAAGGCACGTTCTTCACGTATATTGCAGCAGAGACCAAGGTGAAATCCCGGCTTGTGGCAACATTTGTTGTGGTGTTTCCATCTACTGACATGCACTAACTATCGCAATACAGGCAAGTAGATAGATACTAGATACTCCCATGCTGGAAACATCCTAACAGATAAAAATGATCAATTCGTGACATAGATCAAACAGGAGCATCCTTCGCGATGTGTCTTCGTTGGCCGACAAGCTCTTGTTCTTTTGGACATCGTAACTGTTCCAAAAAAGCTTTGCGGCTGGGATTTCGTGTGTGTGGCTCCTGGTTGCCAGAGGGAGGCAACACAAGGGCAGAACAATGAGACTATTTTGAAGTAGGTCAGAGAGAGCCTAGTTAACTTCTTCAACTAATTTTAGTTTATCTATACTCATGCTACCAACTTTCTTGCTAAAGCAATTGATCACAGCACAAGCATATAACATTAAGTTGTGCAGTATAACTTTTAAAAGGAAAGTAAGAAACAGTGAAAATGACATACGCCTAAGATGAAATTTAAAATTTAGTTGCACTTTACCACGTGCATTTTTGTCCTCACTCTTTTCTGTTGCTCGAAAAGAAACTCGAATTGCCAAGCATGCTAATTCTAATCCACTGTTCTCATCCGCCCACAAACCGTCTGCGTCGGCAGAAGTCTATTGAGAACATAGTCTACGAATCAAGCCTCCTACAAGCAGTTACAATGGGCAAAGCTGCAACGCAGCGTTGATCACGTTCGTACAGCAACCACATCCGCTTCTTTTTTGCTTTTGTTTTATTTTATTTTTTGCAATGATTCCCAAGAAACACGCCAGAACCAACCACGCGAATGCGATGCCGAAGCAAAAACAATCAAAAACACTAGTTCCTGCTTTCGTCGGACTGCCTTTTCTGATGACACTAAGCTGACGCTCTGCGTTTTTTTTTTTTCGTAACTATATGAGCTCATACTGCAACCTGATATCCCCCCACCTCCCATTTTCTTTCGCGACGGACAAGCTGTCGCCATCGTCGTTCAATTTTGTTCTGGCATCCAGTGCGACGCTACGGCTCGTACACGACGCCCTGCCTTGGATGCTCGCCGTAGCACCGAGAATAGCTTCACGCCAGGAAGGACACCGTCTGGTCCGGCAGTGATGCAGCAGATAACGAAGCGAACGAAGGCACTGCCTACGAGCCAGTTGACTCGGCTTGCTCAGCCGTGAAGCCCCTCTTCGGGGTGCCTAAAATCTCGGATCTTGTTCGTAGTAACGAGCGCGTCGATGTGAAAGATATAACACTGTCGCAAGCTACAGTCTGTCGTGATCTTCAGAACTCACTCAAGGGTAAAGTTACTTCTCCATTCTGCTATGCGACCGCCAAGCCAACATCCGGGTTTCCCCTTTACGACTCTTCCCAGATTCCTCGCAAATGCTTCCCTTCGGCGCACCTTTTGTAATCACACCCAGTTCTCTCTGCTTCTGCCAATCTCTTACCTACACAAACCCACACCAGGACGACTAGTATTTCGTAAACTTGCTGGAACAGCGAGAAGGCTCCGGTTTTGTAATAAACTGCAAACTTGACCCCCTCACTTTGTAGCACTCACCGCAACCATTTCGTGTCATGAAGCTTAAGATGTTATACTATACTGTTCGGTTCCGGCTGTCGACGATTAATTTCGATCCTCGTACCCTTTTCCTTCCTCGTTCGTGGCTTAAACTAGAATACACAGAAGTCGAAATATTGCAGCTAAGCTTTGTCAAGCTCCCCTTACTTGCCTGTTCCAGCGAAATCAGAATGCACTTATACGTTTCAATGAAACCAAAGGTGAATGTCGGCTCACATCACTCGCATATGCCCAAGTAAAAAAGTCTTGACGTTGGCCGAGCTGACTGACTGCCGTAACGCAGCTTATACGGATAATCGCTGCTTCTAATAAACACTACTAAGGACCATTTCTGTAACTACGATTTCAACTAGTATCTTTCCGGAAAATATGTGCACTCTACGAAAGGAAAGAAGGCTTGTCCCACAGTTTTCAGAACTCGAGGGCTACAGTCGTCCAGTGAACTCGTGTCACAATTTAAGTTTCGATACGAACGCACATGCGTGTTCCACACAAAGACACGAACAATAACAGTCAGATTTTTTACAGGTACTACTGTTACATTATCAGGATTCGCTCAATGTTTCTTGACCAATTTATCATAATACCATAATTTTGTGGTAATCTATAAAGGAAAAGGCTGCTTTTATTGCTAATCCGGTACAGTGCTAAACAAGACGCCTAATACGTTTAAAAAAGACGTTTGTATTGACAGGCCTTCACCTGTCCCTGCAAACCCTTTTGTTATTGACGTATTAGGAACCTAGTATAAAATCATCGGCATTTTTTATTATTTCTTGCCTCTTTATACTGTCATTTGCTGCGTCGCATTGAAACCGCGTACTCTGGCAAAGAGAGAGAAAATAAAAAAGAAGAAGGGGGGAGGGAACGCACAATGACGTATGTAAACCAATTTCGCTGAATTTGTGTAAATTATACTCTTACGAGAAACTGCTGCGTGTTAAATGATTAACTCTGGAGGTCTCAAAAACGCAGAATTAACCTAGCATGAGTTTGAAACTCGAATGAAATCTGAAACTCATTATTCCACACACAATGTGAAAGCAAATGACGTTTGAACAAAAATGGTACTCACAGGTATTTTTTGTTTTCATACACGTCGTAGAGACCCAGCACATGCGGGTGCTCAATCAGTTTCATAATAGCTATTTCCCTTTCAACCTGGGGTTCGGAAAGAAAAAAAAAATAGAAAGATGGTTAGGCACGCTTTGGTCATTCTCACAGCGGTGCGTACACAGTGACGTCCACGCAATAGGCACTTTCACGGGCATAAAACGGTCGTTAGTCGACAGAGACGTACCTTTTGAAGAACAGATTCACTAAGCTTTTCTCGATTGATGATCTTGACGGCAACTTTGCGGCCCGCTACGCAGTGGATCCCCATTTTCACGAGCCCTGCGCAGGGAAATGAATAAAAGGATGACCGTTGTCATTTTGACTCTCTACATTTCTTTGACAGAGTGGTGACAGAAAATTGTTCGTACAAAAATTAAGATCACACAAGCCGGAAAGTCCCTTTAAAGAAGAGAGAGATGTATGTTAGAAGGAAAAGAAGTTTGCACCTGATTATTTCTTTTTGTACAATTCAAACTTTTCCACTTAACGTGTTTCTTTCGTAATTTTAGTGCATTCAGGAAAAACTATTAGGAACTTCAAATATTGTATTCTCTTTACATGTGTGTTCCCCGGAATACGCAATAGACTTGGCTGCGACGGTTTTCGGAGCATGGAATTCTCAGAGTTATACAATTTTTCATCTTTTCACCACTAAACTTCTTGCCAATCAATTTATTTAGCCACTGGATTCATTTTGAATATGAAGCAGAACACCAAGATAATGCAGGATATAATGGCACGAATTGAATAAACATCCACTGCCCTTGCAACCAATCACTAGTGCAGGAATCATTCTGTTGGTATTAGGGATTCTGAGGTTCCTTGTTTGAAATTGACCGAAAATGTTTAACATTGCATAAGTAACAATTATTGCCACACGTGAAACACTGGTGTGAGTAGGTATCAATCGTGCTTTTATTTTCTTCAAAAGAAACTAGTTGCTACTGCAGTGGTGGATCTGTCGATTCGCGTCTTCCTTCTATGCCTTGGCTCTGTGTCTTGCATCACACGTGAAAATGAGCTGACGTAAACTCACCTATAAAACTATGAATTTCAATTATCTAGTTGTGTAGTGAAGTGTCTCGGACATGTCCCTAGTCAGTGTTGGATCTACTAGCAGTTACAAAGGTTTGGAAGGGTTTTGGGGGGTTTCGTTTTTATTTTGCCCGCCCCCCTTACCGCCAACCATCGCTCTTTTATGTTATTGGAGGAAGTTGTGACAAATTACAGTAAATTAAATTAATGCTATGAATCTATGGAATGAAAACAAATTCAATGAAACGCTATGAACGCAGAGTTCGACCATAAAAAACAGCAGCATAGAAACTGTCATCTGTGCAGACATTACAGAACGCGAAACACGTCAGCTGAAAAGCTTTTCAGGTATCAGGTGATAAGTGTTTCCTGTAATACAAATAACAGATCGTTGTTCAGAGTCATAATCTACGAACAATGTTAGAAAAGTACTTAAACGCGGTCACATTCAACGTGTGGCCCATCTCTTGCTCTCGTACCTATCTCGCACAAAAATGAAAACGGCTAGTTTCTATGCCTTCCTTTGCACACTTCCTCGGCATCCTAAGCTCAACGAAAGATGCAGAAAGAATAAAAAGAAACCGATTCTCTTAGCAGTTACTTCCACATCGCTATCCTTTCATGTGAAACGGATAAAGGGATAAAGAGAGTTTTATTTCGAATCGCAATGACAACTGATCAGCTCGCACTCTCCACTAGTTTATCTTCATTGAAAAGGACTCGAAAAGGCAGCTTCTTTAATTTCTTTGTTTATATATTATCGGTTCCCTACTACGGTAGTCGATCGCATAGACCAAGCGCCAGTCGGGGCTAAGGAGTCTTCCCGCAGTATAGGATTTCTCCTATATATAGTCTTCGTGGAAAACGCACACCTGCGCCTTCAAACTCTCCGGTACTGCATCTTCATTTTTCTTTGCACGTCGTGATCGTGCAAGGCAACTCTACTGTATACTCCAGCCGGGACACGGGTGGCCTCAAGCTGTACGCACTGCCGAGAATAACTGCACCGAGTAGAAGCAGCCGTCCCTTCCCAACCCTCTTTCTCTCTCTTTTTCTATGACCTCACTGCACTTCCTTCTCGTCGTCGTCGTGATCAAAGCGGAAGCGCTCGCTTCTAGGTGACGTCATCAGTGCGTCACGCTCGACGCCGCCCGTTTCACCGCATTTCAGTCGATCTACTACGAACGAATGACCGGCCGCTCGCTTTCTGTGCAACCCGGCGTCTCAAGAAAGCGGCGCACGATGAGGAGTACAGAAAAAAAAAGAAGCTCTTGACAAGGAAGGGGGAGAAGGGAAGCCCCCCGACAACCTTTAGGCTAACAAGATTTTCGGGGCTGCGCAGCGTCTGTACGCCATAAACTGCGACGAGCGCCATCTGATGGAGAGGAACGGAAGCGCAAGAACAGAGCATTAAGGTGAAGCCCGTTACCACTCATGAACATTGTTTCTTTTTCTTTTTCTTTCGTTTTTGTTAGGAGTTTTATATTTATTCATATTCTTCTTCCCTGTATGTCTCAGCACGCCCGCCATCCCATTTGCCCCCCGCGGACATAATCTTGGACGCCTGAAGATTCGCCCCACGGGAGGGCCCGCCGTTGCGTGCCGCTCTTGCGGAGGCAGGAAAAATTGCGCCCGGCTTCGAGTGACGACTAAGCGCCGACTTGCGAGCGAGCAATCAGTGGTCGACACGAACCAAATGTTTCCTTATTGTTTGCGCACTAGATTATCGATGGACGTCTCGATGTTGGTCGTAAAGGCAGCTTTACTGCGTGAGTTATGTGTGCTGCAGTGCTACACACACGTGGAGCAAACATGCCTTTTTTTATCCTTTACGACAGCAAGAGGGCAGAAATGCCGTATAAAGCCGGCGTATTGTAGCAAAACCCAGTGATAAAAAGAGCTCTTTGCTAATACTTCTTTGGCACGCTTATGTGTTATTATGATCGTTTTTCGGCTTCAAATGCGATCCAATAGGTTCGACGCCAAATTAAAATATGATTTGTAAAATGTTCATTTTCCTTCCTTTCATAAAAAAAAAAGGTGATTCTGCATACTGGCATCTTTAAACATGGCTTTGATACTTGCTTTCAACAGACAGGGTTCCTTTACATCTCAAGTACGTCCGCTCTAAACGTGAATATTTACCTTCACATTTCGAGTTCCCCCGCCACCTTGATTTATGCGTATTCCAGTGTTATAATGTAGCGGTAATACGAAATCTAGAAGACAGTCTAAACCTCTTTCATTTCTCATTATCTTCTAATTTTTATTATTCTCATGGCAGCCGAGATGGTGTTCTTGCTTTCAGTAAGGTCGAGAAAAAAAAAGCAAGACGTTTATTAACGAGCGCGAAACACACCTTTCAGCCTAACCACATTTTGAAAGCGACAGCCGCAAATGGGTGTTCAAAATAAACACGCCAACCATGACTCGGATGGAGAGGTGGTCGGATAAATTCTGTGTAAAGCTTTCGTTTCAGCGCCGCTCCATACTTGCCTCCTCGAATTGCTCATCTCTAGGAGAGATATATAAAATAAATAGGAAAATAAAAACCAAAAAAACAAGAGTGGCTCAGCTACATTACGAAACGGGCGTCGTGAGAGACGTCGCCTACTTCGAGACGCCGCGGCCTCTCGTTAAAGGGAGAGACGGCTCGAGCTGTCGAGATCTACGGCCCGACTTCTAATTACTTTTAATGAACGCCGCAGATTCCCGCTGATGTCGGGGGTCCGGGCGAGACGAGGGCCCCTCCGTTCCTCCCTACTTCCATCAGGCGCCACCCGCGCATATAGATCTCGCTCGCTCCGCCACTGCTTCTCGCTTCTATACGCCTCGAGGGCCACCCCTGGCACTCAACCGGCAGGTGCCTCAATTATAACGTCGTCGTCTCCGCGCGCACGCCGAAAGCCCCCACGACTACCTTCTCCTCCCCCACTCCTCCTCACCCACCTCAACTCCTTCATTTCGCCATCTTGTAGTCTCTATCTCCCAGCACCGGGTGCACGCGCTCGCGTATGTTCCGTCCTGCATATTAGATGCTTCGTTCCCAATGCATTGGATCCCACGCGATCGGTAGTCCCACAGTATTACATGGCGAGCCGGTCTTTCTCTCTCTCTCTCTCGCTTCAGCAGATGAACCACTAATTGATTCCGAGTAAGGCAGGTCAGGACGAGGGGAGGATGGAACGAGCGGTAAACTTCAGAGGTTTTCGTGGAGCGCATATATACAGAAAGTATTATAGCGGGAAAGCTTCGAGGCACGCTTCTCTCGGTACCATTCTTACTCCCATCTTCATCTTCGGTCTCCCTCCTTCTTCCCAATTTTTCGCTCATTAGGCTTAAGAATCGTCAGCACCTCGTCGCTCCAGGGAGGGTTCGGGAGCACGACGGAGGAAACGTCGCTCGCAGCAGCCTCTGCGACCCGAATCACGACCGTCGTCGCGTTTGCTGCCCCCTCCTCTCACCTCTCTCTTCTTCAACTTCTACCTATAGAAGCACGGGCAAAGCGGGGGCATGTACGCACCCGAATCCGGGAAGGAGAAAGAGCGAACCCTCTAACCTCGTTACGAATGGCCGGACCCGGTGGGCAACGGACGAAACGAGAGGCGGGGAAGATTTCTGCTGCCCTACCGCTAATTGCGAACTCTACTATAGGCTCGGGATCACGAGGGCTTTCTGTGTGCACACACGAGGAGGGGAAAGCGGTGGCGGTGGTGGTAGGACGTATATATACACGGGCGAGTTTAATGCTGGTCGCGTGGTGCTTTCCGGCTCGGTGGAGAAGCCCCCGGGCGGGAAGGTGCCCGCGTAGCACGTACACATTTTGCTCCCTTGCCCCGCTGGAACGTTGGACGAAGGAACGCTGACATCGTATCACCAGGGTCATATACAGCTTTTTTTTATCTTCTCGCACCAAACGCTCGGACACACTACTGTCGGTGTGCCCAGAAGTTACCGCGCTCCCCTTCTTTCCCCAGACTGAAAGTGGCTACCACCTCACACGGCGTCAAGAGAAATGCATATTCAGGGGGAACGCCGTGTAAATGCGTACGAAACGAGGCGGTGTTCTTCTGCCCGAACCAGCTGAAAATGGCACGCCGAATTATGCGCTTCGATGCAATCCTGGAGCTATGGAGCGTGTCGCGGCTGGTGTAAAATGCCAGCTGTCGTTGAGGCTGGTGTTTCGCTCGAAGGTTACTTAAGGAATTGCCTATTGATTAGTCTTTACAACTATAGTAATTGTC